ATGCAGGATTGTTTTGAGGCTCTCAATCCTGAGGCTCAGGAGTACACTCACTGCACTGGCCCAGTGACAAGTGTCAGTGTGGAGGAGATTAGCGAATCGCTTTTTGGGGGTATTAAACCCCCACAAAAAAAATGTAGTCACTTGATCCACGACTGTTTGTGGGACATTGCTGTTCACAAATGGCTGCTGCATTTCGCCCACAAAATACACAGTCGATCCACTTTACAATGTATCCTGTGAAGCACTTTGAGACAGACGTCTCAACGACGTGATAAGGCGCTATATCAAGTGCAAGGATTATTATTATTTTTGAAAACCTCTGCCTTCACTGATAACATTCCCTTCAAAAACCTATTTGAATCTCAGAGATATTTTAACGATATATTAATTTGAGGCCATTGATTTGAGGAGTCAGCCTGGACTCACTTGAAAGTGCTATATCAAATACTAAGATTACAATTATTTTATCTGACCTTGAGTATTGTTTCCTCTCTGTGTTGTACTTCCAACTGTTTACTTGCATCAAAGTAAATTTGTATTCAGTGGAGCAGTGGTGGCCAACCACTTTGGTCAATCAACCAAATAAATATTCTTGATTGAATACTATATTTCTTGATTCATGGCCACACCAGAAACATCACCACTCAGTAGCTACTGGAAACAAAGCATTAGTTGAAACAGATTCACCTAGACTAGTGCGAATATTTGGGGGGCCAATTCTTGACAGCCCCACAGGCCATGGGTTGGCCACCAATGCAGTAGAGTAACGTTACTTTACCCAAGTTCCTCTACCTACAGGACAGCAAGGAAACAATGAACCCTCCTCTCCCTGCTGATCAACTGAGTGCTGAGTGCCCAGACCTCAGATAAGATGTTAACAACTGGAAAATGCGTTACCAGTGAAATTGAGTTAAATGCTTACATAATCCAGTACAGTCAAATTGTTTGTGGTCACTAGGTTACCGGGTTACAGGGTGGTACCTGAAATAATTGATAGGCATCAAATTATGTCATTTTAACCTTCAGCACTTTAGTGCAATGGGGGGTGGATAACAATTTAAATCACAACTCAGGGGGATAAGATGTATGAATGTTACAATATTTTAAAGCTTTATTGTCCCACAGCTATGGATATTAATTTTTCTGATCTACAAGTAGGAGGTAAATAAACTAACATAGAAAATATTTCTGTGATTTTGGCAGGTGTTTGATTTGGTTAACTCCTGCAGTCTGCTGCACCAGGTGACCATAATCCCAGAGGATGACCCTATACATAAAGATCACTCCATTTTAGTGTCCCAGACTTCGGTGAAAGATTATGTTCTTTTTGCCTACAGGTGTGTTTTGGATTTATCTTTTTCTCTTTATTCTCCAGTTCAAAACTAAAGATAAGGTGTTACTTTTTGAGACAGATAATACGATAATTCTATTAATTAGATAATAAGAAGCTTATTCTGCTGTGTTCCACTTTACTGTCTATGGATGGTTCTAGCAGGCTGTTAGTTATAAATTAGCTGCTGCTAACAGCCAACACGTGACTATCCTCCTGCGTGCAAACCCTCAAGTGTTCAGTGGTTTGAGATATCCTCCTGACATGAAAGACCTATATGGTATAAATGCAATTTATTGTTGTTGTTGGATGCATGGAACTTTGGTTTGGTTGGATTGAACTTTGATAAGTTTGGTTTGGGTACTTTTAAGCATGGCAATAGGTTTCCCCGTGGGTCAGACACTTGTCTGACCACAAAAAAAACTCTAGAGAATCTATCCTGTGACTTTGAAACACTTCGCTTTATTCTCCAAACTAAAGTACATTATCATTATTGGAGACCATCTTTACCTCTGAGCTTGCTCTTTTCTTCACCACATTATATGGAGCGTTTGGTTTATTTATTCATGCACTGCAAGATTAAGGGAAGAATCTTTAATTCCATCATTGTGAACATGGCACACAGCATGGCACACACAGTTAGTGAATGATAGCAAGTCAGGTAATATATGTCCATCAATATGATCATTAGAAGGGCAGTTATCTTTGTGGAGAAGTGCACTACAGAACAAAAGAAAACCTTTGCTAGGCTGTTATAGCTATCAGTTTTCGGCCATTAGTAAGATTATCGTGGATCTCTGTATTCTGCTGTGGTAACAGAGACTGTCAGATTAGATCAGCATTGAAGATGGTATTCCATTTGTGTTATTGCTGGAGATCGAATGTGATAACTTCCTATTCACCTAACAATTTAACAGTATCCAACAGATGGTATCATATAGTCATGACATAGGGGGTGGGTTGTTGGGGTAGATCTCCAGTAATGTAGATGAACTTTCAAATTAACTAATGCTTTCTGTCAAATACACCTGCCCTCCGTTTCAGTGAGTGATGTGTAAAGTGTTTGCTGTTTGTTACTGCAACCATAGTAAACAAACTTTTAAAGGTAAAAAAAATATATAAACTGCTGCCTTATAGTCTGGTTGGAAAGGAAAGGATCTGTCACAAATCAAAATATAGGACGTAAGAATAGATGGGAAGCTGAAAGAGATCTAGGAGTATGAGTTGACTCATTAATCACTATGTCAAAACAGTGTGAGAAAGCAATAAGCAAGGCTAACAGGATGCTGTGCTACATTGAGTTGAGAACAGTTGAGTTAAGCACTCCAGACGTCATACTCAGGCTATAGAATGCTCAGGTCAAATTGCTCCTGGAATATGCAGATAGATCCAGTCACCACAGCACAAGTGGAGGGGGATGGCGCCTAAGCCCTGGAGGTGGTGTAAAAGAGAGCAACAAGGGTGATCCCCAAAGTTGGAAGAATTAACTACGAGCAACGATCAGTGGTTAGAGCGCTCACCTTGCAAGTGAGAGACCTGGGTTCAATTCTCAGCAGAGCGAAACCTTGGGCAAATTTCCTTCTTCCACATGTCTGATAATAATCCCTCAAGAAAAGCAAAACAATAAAATTGGTCACTTCAGTCCACAACTGTTTGTGGGACACTGCTGTGCGCAATTGGCTGACGCGTTTCGCCCACAAATATATAGTCAATTCACTTTACAGTATATTCTGTGAAGTGTTGTGAGACGTCTAGAAGACATGAAAAGCATTATATCAAATGCAAGGTTTACTATTATCATTAGCATCTCAAAGCGTTAAACAATGGCGTAGTTTGATGCTGAGCTGGGGAGAAAAGGGAGGTGAAAAGGAAAGTCTTCAGGTATGTTCTGAAGATGGGTAAAGAGGGACCAATGTGATAGGATAGCATCAGGGAGTTCCAGAGGTTCGGGGTGCAGTGGTTGAGGCACGACCTCCAGTGGTGGAGCAGAGGGGTCGAGAGATGTGCAGAAGGCCCAAGTCAGCCAAGTGAAAGGGATAGATAGAGGAGTGGGGGTGTGAGCAGGATGGAGGGGAACAAGGAGCCAGAAGGAGCTTTGGTCACAGAAAGAGAGAGAGAATGTTGTTTGTAACTTTGACGGGGGTGTCTCAGTGCTGCGTCCAGGGCAGAAACTAGGCTGGAGGGCTTCAAGCAGGGAGTGGAGGGAAAGGTGTGAGCACCAGAAAATTGGCCACAAAAGCTGCTGGATTTTACTAATGACAATTTCCCTGACAATCCTCAGGGAAGGAAATCTGCCTTCAATACCCAATCTGTCCTACTAGTCATTCTAGTCCAATTCTGTGGATGACTCCTAATCCTTCTGAAATGGCTCAGCAATCAATAAGTTAGAGATGGTTTTTCACGGCAACTATGGATGGTCAATAAATGCCAAAATTCTGCCAATGTCTCCCACATCCTTAGATTAGTTTTTTTTTAAAAAAAGACAAGTTTCCAAGTTTTATTTTGTTCAAAATGGAAAAAGTTTCTTTCCACAAAACACAAATGAAAAAATTGACATTTATTGATGGCTTCCACTTATACAATTAAACTAAAATGATCCGCTTACCATTAAATACAATAAGCTGAGTGTAAATTATGTATCATTTGGATTCTGTTTGTGACTCTTAAGTAACTTAAAAGTCAATGAGAGTCTGACAGTGTCCGGGGGTCATTGTCAAGTCACAAGTTATGAGTGCTGGTATAGTGTGCATATAACAACCACCTAAATAATTCATCTTTAGAGAAAACAACTCAGGCAAATGTATTCATGGTTATCTTCTGGGTTGCGTCATGCAGGCAATTGATGAAGATTAATTGGGAAATTATTGGGACTGGAATATTTTCAATAAAAAATCAATTAACTTACTTAAATTGAAATAAACATCTCTGAATTTTCTTGGATTTTCTTTGTTCATAACTTTTCCAAAACCGAGGAAAGTTGATATGAGTTCCTTAAATTTTAAAAAAATTCCTTCATTCAAGGAAAGTGGCCAAAGAAATGGATTTGAGGAAAAGTACAGAGTGGATCTAATCAGATTTGTGTCTCTGTTACAGTTAACTCTAATATGTGTCCATAGTACTGACTGATTAATGAATAAGCCCAATATAGTCCAAAATTTGCAGAAATATAAAAGGAAAACTATAAATATTGGAAATCAATCTGAAACACAAAAATATTGGTTTAGAATTCCACAGTTCATCCAATAGCTGAAAATGAAAGATAGATTAATATTTAGGTGTTGTCCTTCATCAGTACAGTACTTCTCAGTAATGCCTCTGCTTGAAGACTTCCTCCTATAAATGCTTGCTGTCTCAGGTTGTCCTGAAATAATTTTGAGTCTGGCAGCTGAAACACAAACAAGTTAGAAGCAGACAAGGAGGCTATCGAAGTGTACTGCAGTGGTAAGCAATAAGTAAGAGGGGAATGGATTTTGCATTCTGTCAGGGTAAGAAGAACCTTTAACAAATCAGACACTCATTCCTTAGAGGTTTTTTAATGGGCTGAGAATATCTCTTTAACCATCTTGGTGAACAATATGATTGTCATATGATGACCTGTTTTAGATTGTCATGCATTAATCGTTTGTTTGTTCTAAATATTATTCTCTTTGTCAGGAGCGCGAAAGAAGCAATGGTATTCAGTGCTAAAAAGGGAACAGTGGTTGCCAAGTTATCAGCCTTTGATGAAGCAGCATCCGTCCAAGGAGTGGCAGTGACTAGCCAGTATTTTGTAGTTGTCTGCAGGTATATTATTCTTCCATATCTGTAACTGAGTCTTGAGAAGTGAGGTGCAGTAATAAAAAAAAGGCATAGAATGGAAGCTCAGAAATTCCACTGAAGTCCTTTAGCTCAGTGTTTAGAGCACTCACCTCTCAAGTTAGAGGAGCTTGGTTCGATTCCCAGCCAGGGAAAAACTTTAGATAAGTTTCCTTACTCCACACACCTCTGCTTACCTAGCAATAAGTAGGAACCTGGTTGTTAGTCGATTAGCGGATCACTTTTCTGGGAGTAATAATCCCTTCAAATAAATAAATAAAATAATAATGATTTGGTCACTCAATCCATGACTGGGACACTGCTGTGCACAATTGACTGCCGGATTTCAAACAAAATATACAGTCATTTCACTTTACAGTATATTCTGTGAAGTGCTTTGAGATCTCTTGAAGACATGATAAGACGCTATATTAAATGGAAGGATTATTATTATTATTCCTATTCACCATATTACAAATGGGTAATAATTTATCGGGGAACTGTGTTTTGTTTTTACTCTCATAGTCATGATTTAAGTAGAATCTCTAGACTCAAACTGAACAATTTCAGGTTCTTTTGATACACAATACACCTTCCACTAACCAGAAGAGTTACTCAATGGTAAATGCCCAGATCTTGTTTGAAAAATGTGATATCACTGGTTATTATTATATATTATATCAATATATATATATAAGCCAATTGCTTCCCCGGGTAGTAAACACTCAAAAAAAAAACTTTTTTTTTTGGTCACTCAACCCAAGACTATTTGTAGAACACTGCTGTACATGTTTCGCCCACAAAATACACAGTCAATCCATTTTGCAATATATTCTGTGAAGATCTTTGAGACATCTCAATGATGTGATAAGGCACTATATCAAATACAAGGATTATTACTATCATTGAAAATTGTGTTCCAAAGTTGACTTTGATTACTGGTTTAGGTATGAATATCTACTCTTAAGTATGAGTGAAATCTTATGGGATGACTCTCTGTTTGATGATAAGTATACTGACCTGAGTGGAGAGCATGTATTATTCCATGTTTGCACCACACCACTTTCACTAAATTCACCAAGCAGAGGATCCTAGGTCTGTAAGTTTACCAATAGCCAAAGACTACCTGGCTACATATAGTGGATTAATATTTTGCTTTTTTGGAATGCTTTATTCCAGGTACCCCTATCTGAGAGTCCGAGAAATAATTCATATTGAGTTGTTTAGCATACAGGACTTTGCATACATCCGCACAGTGAAAGGTTGCTGCAATGATCACATCTCCATCTTATCTGTAAACCACTTGGGTTCTCATATTGTGGCTCTGTGCTCCTGTGTTAAGACAAACATCACTGAGATCATCTCATGGAACTTAGAAACAGAAGAACATAAGCATCTGGCCAAGTTCTCTTCTATAGCTATTGCAGGCAAGTGAGCTTTCATGGAGATATTCAATTGTCTATATGTGTTGCATACAGTGATTTTACTCTCCAGTACCAATGCTTGCAAAAGCCAACATCACAGATCATCAGCAGCTTATATGAGGTGAGGGAATCATTTATCCAAACCATATAGGAAGAAATGGTTAGAACTGAATACAAATTGATCTTAAGAGGTGGCAGCACATTGGTAAAGAACAATGAAGCTGCAACATCTGGTAAAACATGGAATAACTCACAAACAAATCATGAGGTTAAGGCACCAAGCAGAAGCCAGGCACTCCCGATTAAGGAAGGAAGCACTGGCAGCAGGTTGTACTTGGACACCTTGTGGGTACTTTTGATGATATTGCCTGAGATCTGGAGAGAATCGCCTGTCTACCCTGTTGCTGGAACCAACATAAATAATCGGGTGGGATGGGTGGGAGTTTGCCTGTTTTTTGTTTGCTGGAGGATTTTACATGGGTTTCTTTGAAATGCCACATTTAAACAATAAGTAGACAATCACACAGTGTGTGAGGTTAGCTCCATGAGTTGTTTATGTGTGCATCAGATAGGATCAGTATATATTCATGCAAAAGGACTTGTTTCAAATAGTTTATTTTATTAAATTAAACAAAAATAAGGATCTTCCCATTAGAATGCATCCTGGAGGAGGAGTAAAGCAACTGTGACGATTATACAGCTCTGTTACATTATGGATTGAGATAGTGTGGTACGGATAGCATGTTACATTGTAGCTTGTCAAAAGATTTTTCAATCTAGATTTAAGAGTGTTGTAAGATATTCAGGAAAGTCCATGTTTCCTTCTAGCATTGTGATAAAAGGCAGAAGGAATCACGTTTTATACTGTTTGTCCAATGAATGGACAAGAAGGGTTGGTAGATATTTTTCTGTTATTCTGAAAACTTGAAGACAATGCTGAATGTTTAATATTCAATAGTTAAAAAATGTTTCCTGCAGCAAATGTTGAAACAATTTATAAAGTTTGGTTATTTGGAGCATCCGTACTCTGTGCTTAGTTAGTTTATGCTACCAGGGCTACAACCGGTCTCCCTCTTCCTGGACTAGGAAGAGCCCTGCTTGAAGTTTGTCTGTGTGAACATTGGATGAGGACAGCTTTTGTTTGGCTATAATGCCTTCCTTGAGTATACAATATATTGACACTCACTACCAAGGTCCAACATGAAGAATGGCCTCTTGGGTTAGATTGCCAAAACACTCCTACAAAACTGTACCGCAGTACTAAATGATTACTATTAGATATGATAAATATATATGCAGTTGAATAATTGATATCCCAAAAATTTAGGTGTATGTTTTGACTTGCGGTTCTGCCTGGCTGTCTGCAAAGGAGAGAGCTTCCTGCGAGTGTGGAATCTGGCTTCTAAAATAAATGATCAATCTTTGAATGTCAACGTGACTAAGATGAAGAAAACAAAAGGGATTGAGGAAATTTTTCCTATGAAGAACTATCCCAGGTTAGTGCGGGAAAACCAATCACGGTATTGAATTAATATTAGGAAATTCTTCATTTTGCCATGAATTATCACAGCTTTGAAACTGTTTTCCTCCTCGTTGAAGTTCTGTGCACTGTATTTAACAAAAAAATTGTAGTCAGACATCCAGACATCGCTAGTAAAATAGCTTTATTAGCTCTTAGCAAAGCATTTTTGCAAAGTTTGTGCAGTAGAGGTATTATGGTTTTATGTAGAAAGCGGGAGGAGGCATTGTAATTAAAAGGTTTGTCAAGATCTAATAAACAGGCTTGGTGAGTTGAGTGGTATCCTCCAGTTCCTGTTTCCTATATTTCCTCTAATCTGCCAAAATATACCCCAATCACTCCACACAGTTGGACCGTGCTGAACCACCTATCCTATGTTGATAATGTCCTGAAGAACACCATCCCAGACCCCCACGCAATCACCGAGTGATCCATGCGGCATGTAGTCGAAACAGTTCGAAAGGGGGAGAGGGTAGACCCGATCCGGAGGTACCCTTCGGCGACAGCCAGATACGTCTGGCTAAACACCTTGTCACTGGTCCTGACCAACAACCATCAGGACATGGCCTGGCTGGCGATAAAAGGCCCCCGCCCCCACCCCAGGGCTTGCATGCACAGTTGAGATCTGGCCCAGTCAGCACATTGCCCTCAGGCCGGCTGCAGAGGCCTGGAACCGTGGACCACATCTTCCTGGAGTGTTGTTACGCAAAGGCGGTTTGGAAAAAGATGGGATGGATTCTCTTACGGTTTGTCCCTTGGGTCCCGCTGTTACGGCACTTGGTGCTGTACGGCCTGTTCCCGGGCACTCACTGCGAAACCCTCATCGAGAGTGCCTGGAGGATCATAAACTCGGTAAAGGAGGCACTTTGGCATTCCCGAAACCAGGTGTTCTTCTGGCAGAATAAGGGGACAGTGAGGGCCTGCCTCAGGCTCACACACTCTAGGATCAGGGACTATATACTGAGGGACAAGCTGAAGTTTGGCTCAACCACAGCAAATGCCAAATGGGGCCTGACTCTGGCAGGAGCCGCTCCGAAACAAGCCCGCTGAGGGCACACCCACCAGATACCCCACGAGGGCACCCAAAACTGACTGAAGTAAGTGTACAGAAGGACACTCGAGATGTAACCAAAGAGCATCACAAAAATGTATTGCACAGTAAACATGTGCACGTGGTGCACATCGGGGCACCTTCTGAAAGTGGCAAGTGCGTCTTATTAGTGCGTGTGTGGGCGCGCACATGGGGGTGGTGTACACAGGTTTTAAAGGGAGCATCCCAAAAAACGTGTGCACAACTTATGTGTGGTGAAGGAATATACCGTAAACAACGGAATGTTTTTTTGTATCGGGAAGAAGGGAAAAATTGTAACAGAAGATGTGTTTGTTTTGGATTTCTGTTTATAAATAAATATATATTTTCAAAGAAAAGTCAAAATATACCCCAATCATAGCTTATATACATATGGATGTCAATAAATTAAGATAGAATTCCTTGTTGAAAGAGTTTGTACAATAAGTATTTACCAACTCACTGCTTCTGTTAAAAATGTTTCTATAAAATTTCTGATTGTAATTATTGAGTTTAATTTGAGAAGCCTATTATAACACATTGAATGTTCAACAAGGAGACCAAATGTCCATTGTGACTGATAGTTACAGCCTGGTTTTCCTTAGAGGGTGAGTTGCTGATGGAAAAGGATGTCCTGACATCAACTAAATTTTCAACAGGGAATTTGCTGTGCAGTGTACACCGTGTGTCCTCCTGAAACCTTACCGACCTATCCACTCTCTCCATTCAGCGGGTACTGGCCTGCTCTATGTCCCCCCCCACTGCCCCCCCTGCCTGCTCCACCATTGGAGGTCAGGTCTTTAGCCTTTCTGAACTCACCCTCTGGAACTCCATCCTTGGACCCCTCTACCTTGCCCCTCCCTTGCCTCTTTCAAGGCCTGCCAAAACCTTCCTTTTTGACTGCGCCATCAGTCATCTTATAATAATAATAATCCTTGCATTTGATATAGCGCTTTTCATGTCGGGAGGACGTCCCAAAGCGCTTCACAGAACACTGTAAAGTGAATTGACTGTATATTTGTGGGCGAACGCGGCAGCCATTTGCGCACAGCAATGTCCCACAAACAGTCGTAGATTGAAAATGACCAATTTATTATTGTTTTTGGTTTTGGAGGGATTATTATTAGGCATGTGGAGTAAGGAAACTTGCCCAAGCGAGTGCTCTAACCATTGAGCTACAGGACCCACTTCCTACCACCATCCCCCTTGCCCTCCACCCCTCTTGACTCCTAGCCCACAGCTTAAGTGCAAACCCTTCACTATCCAGCACCTTGGGATGTCCTCCTGATGTGAAAGCCGCTAGATAAATGCAATTTATCTAGCAACTCGTGGCTAGTTGATCTAGGATAATGGGAGGTGAGGATTTTGTTTGCACTTTATTCGAAATTCGAAGCCCCCCTGCAGGGTTCTGTATAAAGAATACGATTAGAAACAATCACACCTAAGATTGTGCCTTTCTCTTCACCACAGCTGCGTGATCAATGGAGCCTTTATTACTAACTTCATTTTTTTTGCTAAAGAATGTTTGGGAAAAATTCTAGAAGCAAATGAAAGGGAAATGTAGGTGTTGTGTTTTTTTATTGTTTAAGATTTTTTTTGCAGCTACGTAGTGTGCAGAGGCTTGAATGCTGAAACCTTTACTGTGTGGAACATAAGAAACTCAAAGTGCGAAGGGCTTCCTGTCCGAGTAGAAAGAGGTCTGTTTGAGAGTACAGACATTGTACTGGTGAAGGATATGAAGCTGTACATCCTTTCAGACAAGGGCACAGTCACTTTCACTGGAACACATCGGCCTATCTTCCAGGTATTTAACCTAAGTATGTCTGTCCTCTTATTTCCTTTCACTGGACAATGGGGTTGAAGAGCCACTGCTGATGAAACCGGTAAAAGTTGCTGATGGAAAAATACATCCTGACATCAACTAAATTTTCAACATGCAATCTGTGGTACACCATTTTGACTTTCGATCTGATGAGATATTGGGTAAGAACTAAAGAAGTGGGGTTAGGAATGACTTTGATGGCTCAGTTGCTAGTTCTCAGTTGTTTGCTGATGGCTCAAATTATGCATCATGTTCAAATCTCTGAGAAAACTCAAAACTCAGTTTACATCAGGTGAAATGTGAGGTGAAATGCCAATAATAATTCCAACTTCATCAACCAGTACTTTTTCAACTAAATGTAGACACAGCAGTTGTATGGATACTATTGCACAGTATATTTGAACTGTAAGAGTTGACATTGATATAAGAACTACAAGAAAACAATTTTAAAGTTAAGACTGAATTCAACGATTAGCCACATCCTGGATTATCCAGAACTTTTCATAGAGTAAATCTAGACCTAAGTAGAATTTCTCCCACTTGTGTCTGACTATTGAATGCAGATTAGCTGTTTAACAATCTGGTTACTTTCTGCTTTCCAGAATGAAGTGTTCACTGTTTACCTTGTGTGTTCTTCAGACCCTGTTGGTGTATGATCTCCTTAAGAAGAAATACTTAAAGAAAATATCTTCCCTGTACATTGTGCCGAGTTTTAAACATGAATATAAGATCCTGGAAGGAGATCTGCTTCTAGGGATATCAGAAAACAGGTGGGGATACCTTTGATGAATACATAATGAATGTAATGCAGTGCAGGCTGAGAGTCATAATGAAAACTGCCAAGATCCATTATCTATGTTGATTCTAGGTCTCCGGCTAATAAAAATGCATTTTTTTTTGGATGTAAGTGTGAAACATTAGATCTTGTACAATATTCAGGCAACAGATTAGATAATAGTAATCCTTGCATTTGACGTAGCGCCTTATCACATCTTCGAGACATATCACAGTGCTTCACAGAATATACTGTAAAGTGAATTGACTGTATATTTTGTGGGCGAAACGTAGCAGCCAATTTCATACAGCAGTGTCCCATAAACAGCCATGGATTGAAGTGACAAATTTTTTTTGAAGGAATTATTATCCTCCGAAAAAGTGATCCATCAATCGACTAACAACTGAGTTCCTACTTACTGCTTGGCAAACAGGGGCGTGTGGAGTAAGGAAATTTGCCCAATATTTCACCCTGCCGGAGATCGAACCTAGATCTCTCGCTTGCGAGGCAAATGTTCTAACTGCTGAGATGGCATGTTCCATCCGATTCGTATCTTTAGAGCACTGTTTGACATGACAGATTGTTTCCACCTACAATGTCTTACAAGGTTTCATATTTTTTCCATCTGTTTGTATCAGACAATACATTTTACATCACTCTGCAAGAAATATTTGGAATAGGTATTGCAAGTATACTATGTTTAGGCTTTTTATTAAAAGAAGGCCAGAGTTAGCAACAAAAACAGTTCTCATTGATCCTGTTCATTGTATGCTATTACTATATTTCCAATATTACACACAAATAAACTATGCAGCTCTGTGCTGTGTATCTCACATGTCTGTTAGAGTCTAAGCTATACAACAACAACTTCCATTTTTTATAGCGCACTTCACGTGGGGTAGTGCCTCTCAGCGCTTGACAACAATACTTAAAAGGGTATTGAATAAATACTTGAAAATATATAATAAAGCGTATAGGAAAATAACGAGAGAATGGATTAAAGTAGCTAGCTACAGTGAGGGAACCAAGTTGAACATAGACCCTTTTGTTTTGTTATAGTAGAAGGAGCTTTATACTGCTTTAGGAGGTAGAAGAAATCCTTCTTCCATTCCCTAGCACTGATAGCCCTGATCTTCTTAATAAGCAATTGACTCTAATGTGTATATTTGTATAACAATGCTTGTGATTTGTTTGTCAAAAGAGATCACTTCATTATCTGGAACCTGAAGACTGGAATTATGGAGAATCGGATTCGTCCTGTGTACAAAGACGATATGTCCTTATCGAATAGTCTTCCTTCTCATGTGACTTCAATGGACAATCTGTACAAGGAACTCCTGTGCAAAAGAAAATCAAGAGATATAGAAGGATCAGGAGGTAAAGATGTTTCATGGAGATACACAGGCTGGAAATCTGCAGTGAAGGTCGTCAGAAAATGTTGGAACTAAATAGCATGTCAAGAAAGATAGATTATTATGACTGCAAAGATGCTTAGTATTGTATAGTGAGAATAGGCTATCCATATTGTAATAGCTATGGTATAACCTGCTACTTGATGCTGTAGACAGATATGCCATAAATGAGATTCCTAACAACCTGCTAGATATAGTGAAATATTCCCACAGATAATATTGATCATTTACGTCATGGTTGTTTGTGTGACATTGCTATGTGCAGATTGGCTGTCATATTTGCCTACAAATAAACAGTCACTAACCACACACACTTTTTTTGTGAAATGGTTTGAGAGGTCTCAATAATGTGGTACAGAAGCTATATGAAATGAAAGGATTACACACTAATACTAATTGTCATTATTATTAATATTATTATGTCTGTGCTCTACATTTCTACCAAGCTTTATGATACTCCCCTGCACCCCCTTTCTTCTTTCCCCTCTCCCAGCTTGGACTCCCAGTCAGCTGTGTGAAGCCCTTTGAAACATGCTCCCGACATGAAAGAAGCTACATAATGTAAATTATTGTTGTTGTATCATCCTAGGAGATAATCAGTAAAAAGAATTCCACAGTACACCAATTTTATTTAGACAGTTTCAAGATCTTATTAATTTGTACTTGGCTTTTGCTGTTGACTTTACTTTTTTTTAAACCAATCACACTTTATTCACGTCTTTGTAATATTCAGGAAAGAAAATAACTACTAAAGATGGAATTCAACAAGAATCAGTGATTAACATTCGAAAGGCTTAATAAGTGATTCATTTCCATCTTCTACTTCTATTTAGTTTGCAATGAGGTGAGGAGGAGGCTGAGAAATCCTCTGGCTTTAGCAGAAGAGTAGTGTCAGTGCCAATGCTTGCCCAGCTTGCCTGGTGTTCCCTTCCTTTTGGTGTGACATGATTATAAAAGTGGGGTGAAGAGTTACTCAGTACACCTGGGACTGCTAATGTTGAATACCAGGGTAGCCTGAGCCCAAAACAACAGACCTGAAGGGTAGCTGTGGAGTGAGTATTGTGCTGCTCACAGGTCAGGGTAGCTTGACTTGATTTTCCTATATATAAAAATAATAACACAATTCTGTCTGTGCATCTGTGTAATTTCAGTGTATCTCACGCCCTGGGAAAAGCGTAATGAGACAAAGACAGCTCGGAAGAGGAGGCACGAGAAGGACGTGAGGCAAGAAATAGAAAGATTGCAGCAGTTTGCTGATGAGAAAACAAACAGTATTGATCAGTACCTGCTAAGTGGGAATGAGAAGGTGAGAAACATATTACAGTAAACTCCCAGCTTCCGTTTCACCCCAGAAATGTTATGGTATGATTTTGAAAAAAGTCCAAGTAACATTATTTATATACACTAAAACCCTGGCTAACTGGACTACTGGACTAATGGAAGGAGGGATCCAGAGCTGGACATGATAAGGTGTTGTACCAAATGTAAAGATTATTATTAATTCTGATTTTTGTTGGTTAAATTAAGACGATATTGCACTAACCTGCACTCCAACTCATATGCCAGCAGTCCACTTTTGGAGTTTGTGGTCACATGCCACTGGACTAAAGGTAGATATTGCAAGATCAGAAATTCAGAGATTGAACAAAATCTAAATTTATATATTATAAAGGAATCATGCTTCAATATATCGCAGTATAATGAAAAGTATTTGACCCATTTAAGTGGTTCAGTCCTTTTTTAAACAGGGTCATGCTAAAAGTAGGTATTATATGGTGCTAAAAGGTCTAGAGTTAGCAGAGGAGGAAAGAAGAAAGCAGTATTTTACAACAACAACTTACACTTATATAGCACCCTCCATGCAGAGTAGGGTCTCAGAGCACTTAACTGTGAAGAATACCACATTCTGATTTCAACTGGAATCTTTCTTTCAGATAATTGTCTGTTCCTATTTTGCACATCACCTCACAGTCTTCAGCTTGGACACCAAGTCTCACACTCACACCCTCGAGGACAGGAGGTCAATGCTTTTCTTGCACAGTGCTGCACTGACACACAGTGGCAGCTACCTGGTGCTTTCAAATTACAATGAAGTTCAGAAAGTGAGTTATGTCACTCTATGGAACCTGCACACTGGTAAGGTAATATCAATGTATATACTGTAATACAACATTCGGCAGCGTTCTACAGAGTTTTGATATTGTAAATAGAAAATATTTTTGGCTGGTGAGGCACGTAAGGGCTGAAAAATTGCTCCTCGGGTAAGCTTTAAAGTTACTGTCTATTTACCACTTTCCTCCACTCAACCTAAAAATGCAGAACAATTGTAGACTCCCCTCACTATTCCAGCTGAGATCAACTAACTATCACAGTACAGGACAGAATCCAGGTTACCTCCCTAGTCTGTATGATTTAGTAACACACTGAATGATGGATGTTAAACTATTGATTCACTTTCCATCAATAACATGCTATTTATTTCATAAAATAACATGCTATTTTATGATTAAGTAACTTTCTCTCTCTCTCTACTCTCTTTCCATTATATTGTGTGTGTGACTGTCTCTTTATACACAAAACGTATAAAGAGATAAATTAATCCCTTTAAAAAAGATTAATATGGTCACTCAATCCACGACTGTTTGTGGGACACTGCTGTGCGCAATTGGCTGCCGCATTTCGCCCACAAAATATACAGTCAATTAACTTTACAGTATATTCTGTGAAGCGCTTTGAGACGTCTCGAAGATGTGATAAGGCGCTATGTCAAATGCAAGGAATATTATTATTATTAAGTAAATACCTGTGCATATAAATTGTGGTACTGTACACACATTTACCATTCATCTTTGGAAATTAAAAGCGATATTTTTATTGACATTCTGTGTTCAGGTCACCAAGAGGTTAAGAAATGAACCCGACGTGTGTTGCAGTGCGATCATGGATGGGGCTGATCGAATTGTGTACGGTGTCATGGAAGCAAACAGGTAATTGTGGCAACGTTTTGACAGTCCTATTGTTTCCATTATGCTTTGACAGTTCTATTGTTTCACTGCCCCAGAAAGATTCAGAGACATGACAAAAGACAGCAGCTTTAATTACACTGATCCCAACAGATAGGCTTTCCTCCAACCCACAGCCATGCCTCACCACAAACAGATAGGAAAGATACACTGTAGTGAAGCCTAGAGACGTTCTATAATAGAAAGAGGTTATGCCATATTGAAATGAGCTTCCTGCTCTCTTTAAAATCCCTCACGACCATTTGCAGACGTGAAAGGTGCTATATTAAATTAAAGGATTCTTTTATCTTTTATTTTGTGTATCCTTTTTCTCTCCTGACCACCATATGTGTTCGAGCCTTCATTACATTCCTGACTGCTGGGATTCCCTGCCTCTATTTCTCCACATTGCCACCTCTCTCTATCTTTCTTTAAATCACACCTTAAAACCTATCTCTTTGACCATGCCTATGGTTGTTTCCCCCTCCTCACTTGTTTGGCGTCCAGCCCTCCCACTGTGAATTGCTCCAAGATGTCATCCTTCATAAAGAGCGCTATATTAATGCAAGTAGTTATTGTTTATTTAACAGCCTTCTGAGGCTTGGATTGAGGCACATTGTTAGGGTAGATTAGATTTACCCTGCATCTACCTGTTCTGTATCCTAAATTTATTGGAAATTCTGAAAACATTGTTAATAAGTTTCAAGATTTTATTTTTTTCAAAAAAAATCCTTTTTTNACTGTTCTAGAGTGCGAGTCAAAGATAAGGTACCAGAAAAGCAGCTCTAGTCAAGCGACCAGCCATCTTACACTTAGCTGAACTGTTTTAATTTTGCCCAGTTTTATCTTCATTGTTCTTTCTCTATCCTGAAAGCATCAAATTTTGCTGAGATATGGATTCTGACAGCTCTGGTGTTTTCTTAAACTAGCTATTCTCTATGGTAGACAGTATATGTCAACAGACTATTCAATGCCTACCCCTCATAGACTCCTTCATCATCTCCAGGCTCGATTATTCCAATGGCCTGCACACAGGTCTCCACTGCTCTTCTCTACACAAGCTGCATCCCATCCAGAACTCTGCAGCCTGTGTCCCATCCCTCGTGAGGCTCCGCAAACCCATCAGCCCTTATTCTCACTCGGCTCCACTGGCTTCCCATCCCTCAGCAGATCATATTCAACATTCTCGATTTCAAATGCTTCCATGGTCTATGCGATCTCCTGCCCGGACATTCCCTCGTCCATCAATGATGGGCAAACTTGCAACCATTTTGACCTGCTCTCTGGAACACCACGCCAGAGTTCCTCCACCTTGTCACCTCCCTACCCACCTTCAAATTCTACCTTAAGGCCTATCCCATTGACTGCATTTTTAGCCACACTCCGCTTTCCTCAGCTCTTTTCTCCACACCCCTCCCTCCCAAGACTTGGGCTTCCAGTGAGTTGTGTGAAGTGCTTTGAAACAGCCTCCCAACGTGAAAGACCCTAAATAAATATAAATGCTGTTGTTGTATCATTTTAAAAAATGATCAGTAAAAATGTACAGGACACCAATTTTATTTCAACTGTTTCCAGATCTTATTTGTGCTTACCTTTTGTTGTTGACTTTAATTTTTGTTTTTAACCAATCAACTTTATTACTATTTATAAAATGAAATAAATATTAAAGATGTAATTCAACAAGAATCAGTGATTGACATTCAAAAGGCTTATTAAGTTATAATAATATTAATAATCCTTGCATTTAATATAGCACCTATCACGTTTATGAAGATGTCTCAAGGTGAAAATTAAGCCGTAAACGGGATGAATCAAATAAGTATTCAAAAAGTTAAAAAAAACTAATTGACTTGGATTTAGTCAGTAATGACTGCCTAAATAAAATAATAGAAACAAATTCATACAGTAAATTATAAATGAAATTCCAGTAGAGTATCTCTTGTTTGGGAGTGAATTGTCCTGTGGTGCCACCTATTGGTATTAGAATAATAATAATCCTTGCGTTGGCAATAGGACCTAATGAAGTCGTTGAGAAGTCCCAAAGTGCTTCACCGAAGATATTGTAAAGTGGATTGTGTATTTTGTGGGGGAAACACAGCAGCCAATTGCACACAGCATTGTCCCATAAAAAGTTGTGGGAGTTATAAAATATTGTGGTGTGTGTTAAAATCACAGCTCTCAATTTTTTTACAGCCGTAACAATCAGGTAGTTTGTTTCCAGATTTGTGTTTGCTTGCTATCGTGGTGATCTGTTGCTTTGAGCAAATGACAGCCTTTCAGTAGATGAGTTTTGTTTGCTTTGCTTTAAGACTGAAAGTATGGGATCCATTCAGAAAAGGCCACAAGACTATTTCAGGATATGAAAAGTTTAACCTAAATATGAATAGTAGAGTGCATCTGACAGATAATGGAACAAAGGCTGTGATTCTGGCAGGTATGTGAATTTAATTTTAATATAACATTTTACACAACTGTACATAATATTGTGGGAAAATATCAGGGTGTGAAAATATTTTGCAGGGTGTGCACTTATTCACCAGAAGTGCTACAATTGGCTTGAACACTCAGGATATCGAAGAAAAAAATAAGTGAAATTGTATTTTCCTTAACATATGAAAGTATTTTAATATTTATTATTTCCTTCTCTCGTTTTCTTCTCAGACGATGTGAGTCTATGGGATCTCGAAAAAGGCACAGTCCAGTCCATTTTTACTCCCGATAGTGTGATCCGGTGCATGTCCTTGGCCTTCGAAGATAATAATATTCTTCTTGGCATGAGCGACAACCCTGCCCTCATTGTACTTAAGCTGATGTCGAAGGACACAGTGAAACTGAGTTCAAAAGAGAACTTGTTTGGAGAAGCCAGCAGTAGTGAGGATGAGGACAATTCTAATTTTAGGTCAGGGTAATTTCTAAATAGCCACATTTTTAGTCTTCTTACATTGACTGATTGCTCCACTAAAATAGAGCAAGTCATAAAATAGTCACAAAAATTGGATATTTATTGAAAATATAGTTTAAAACTGTTGCTAGAATTTAATAGGATTGAAAAATTGTTGTATTGTTCCTTATTATTAAAAACCTTTAGTATTGCACAACTACATTTTTTGTGTTCAGCTCAATCTATTTCCCTTTTGTTTAGAACTGCAATTTAGCAATATTCTGCACTTCATACTAGACTGTTCTTAAACATGGTACCATTATCATGTTTGCATGTGTCATTAGATACCCAGCTGACCAGATAAAAATTACTTATTACCCATTTCACTGAAGTCAGCTTGGAGACTTGCTGCTCCAATGTCTTTTAGCTGAACAGGGAGTGTCCCAAAAGCAGCACAAGGTCTCTCCTGATTTTCTTTCCAGTTTGGGAAGGCAGCTGCTTGAGCATCAGTTTCCCAGCAACAGAACTTAATGAAATGGAAGATTGACCTTGGATCCAAGGCCTGTAAGGATGCAGTTCTAGTTATCTTGAACTGAACTCTTGATGGATTTTTTTGTACAAGATTTAGTTCCAGATGAGGGAGTTTAGAACAGCACCCCACCAGAGAACAAGCTGGAAATTTACACCACAGCTATAATTCAAACATTGTTTTGATTACATCACAAGTGAAGGTCATTCAGTCAGATGTCATCCTTTATAACAATATAAAAGTTATATTGAATACGTGAAAAGCGCTATATCAAATGCAATTATTATATTATTATATAGTGGTTGCACATTATTAGTCCTATCAAAATCGTGAACGGATAGTTAGTAATAGTGACAAAACAGGAAGGATTGTTTTAGGTTCTGATACATAAAAACTACAAACTAAAAAACATTTGTGGAGTCCTGTAGCTCAGTGGTTAGAGCACTCTCCTCGCAAGCAAACAGACCTGGGTTTGATTCCCAGCAGAGCGAAACCTTGGGTAAGTTTCCTTACTCCACACACCTAATAATAATTCCTCAAAAAAAACAATAATTTGGTCACTCAATCCACGACTGTTTGTGGGACGCTGCTGTGCGCAATTGGCTGCTGCGTTTCGCCCACAAATATACTGACTTCAATTTACAGTATATTCTGTGAAGCACTTTGAGACGTCCAGAAGATGTGAAAAGTGCTATATCAAATGCAAGTTTTTTTTAATTATTATTATTTCATTCACGCATCCACTGATCAAAATTGTTTTAGATCCATACCAAAACAACAATTGTTATTAGATATTGAATTATTGAGCAAACAGCTTTGTTGAAGGCAGCTTTTTAACCTTTGCAGAAACACCATTTCATAATAAAGATGCAATTTCCTGTCTGACTGTTTTATTCAAGTATTACAAAATTAGGCAACAACTAAAGTGTAAAAATATTACAAATACTGTGGTTCTATTGAAAGCACTATTATCAGACTGAGTAAGGTTATCCTTAATTACGGAATGTACCACAGCATAAAGCAGCAATGACCCATATACAACAAGCACAGAATTATTTGCAATAACTTATTGTGTCCCCCAGCCAAAGCATGATGCTGGTGACACAGAGCGTTACCATCTTTCTACATAATGTATTGTAGTTTAAAAGTTTAGGTTGATACTGTATCACTAATGCAAATCTGATTTGGGTAAACTATTTGAAATATATATATCTGTTTCTTATTTTCAATAAACACACCAGCACACATACTGCATTTTAATGCATCAATTACTTTATATTAATATTTTGCTGAATTATTGCTAAAACTATAGACAAAATATTATTGCATAGCTTTATATACGTTACAGCCCAACACTGAATTTTAAAAATTATACATGGTATTTGATTTTATTTAAAAAAAGTAATCATCTTGATCTTCTATCCTTTTTGGATTTTTCTAGGCATTTGTCCATGGTCTTTTCATTATCACCTCTACACTTTGGACAATACCAGTTTCCTTTTGGTTTATATGTTAGTCCAACACAAGAAAAATGATACCATTCAATCGGACACTCTTCATTGTCGCAGCCAATCATTTCACCATAAGACACTTGGTTACAGAGGCAGTAAGTGGGTTCATCGGGATCTATCAGAAAGTCAACAGGGGAGATTTCTCTCTCTTGTCTACCTTTGGAACGTTTCTTCTTTTTGGCAGATTTGGATTTCTTCTCTTTTGGTTGGTCCTCTCCCTCTTCAGTATCATTATTGATTTGGCACATGTCACGGTTATCTCCATTTCTCAGTCTACGTGACCGCTTGGAAGACCTTTCTGATTGGGGCAGCTCTGCTTTGAGCTTCTCTGGTTCAAGTAGGTCCTCAAAATATTCAGAATGACTTTCCATCTGCTTCGCACGATTTTCCACCTGATCCATCATTTGTGTAACTATCTGAATTTTCTCATCGCCTAGCTCTTGGTTATTGATCAATGCGCGTTGTAGATTATTCAACAATTGTTTTCTTTGACTTGTATCTGTTTCCTTCTTATATTTTTCATAAGCATTATCAACCTCTTTCATGATTTCTGAAACAGAGAGAAAGACAAGATATATTAACATACAATGGACACAGCAAGAATTATACTGAATGTTCAATATTCTAGTCTTTAAAATTAAATTATCCTGCATCTATAAAAAAATAAAAAATTCTATCTGTCAAGCTCTTAAAAAGTAACTACAGACTTATAAAATAAGCTTCCAACCACGTCCTAAATAAATAATTTAATAGGTTTTGAAATCAACTTCAGCATTTTCATCCATAGCAAAATATTAAACAGGGAGTTGCAAATAAAATGTAAAATTACCAGAGAGGATTCAAGGATATATTACACATTAGTCCTGGCTAACCAACTAATGAGGGTGGGGGGGGAAGAATTTGATCGGTATTGCAATTTTTGGCACTGTTTTAATGTGCGAATAAACTATCTTCTGCTCACATAGTCACTCACCAAAGCAGGTTTACACATGGCTACCGTGAAGGCCGGCAACGACAGTGAGGTGGGGAACAAACATCACGTGAGTTGCTCAGCATAGCTTTGGCGCACACCAGGACAGTTGGGGGTCGGGGTCGGGGTCTACCCGCAGGCCCGTGGAAATTTGGGCCTCCAGAAATATTTTTAATCTTTTGGTTTCCAGTCTGGCGAGGTTCGAATTCAGGATACCCATCATCGTGCTTAAAGAGTATCCAAACCAAACTGAGAAGTCCATGCATCCCACCTGCACATGGAGATCCCAGAGATAGTTTGCTGGAGGGAAGCATCCGGCTGCTTACCCAAGTCCAGGAAGTATTAAGCTCAGGTCGGTTGCCAAGAGCCCAGGCTTGGGGACCCCAGTGTGTGTGTTGGGGTAACTGCTGGGGTCTAACCAGCTAAAACCATATAGATTTCCATTGATACTGCTGTCCGGCAAGCTCTCCCGCGGCTTGTCCAGCAAGGACCACTCTCACGGCTTGGGCTTTGGCCGGCGGGAGGACTCCCTGCCCCCGGCGACCGGTCTGCCTTTGGGGTCCCGCCAACGAGGCAGCAGCGCCCCGGAAAACTGCGGACCCCACTGGCTCAGCACATGGACTGGAGACCACCACAGAGGGTCGGCTCCGTTCCCACATTCCGCTGCCAATCCCAATCCCAATCCCAGTCCCAACTCCAGGACAACAACAACAAATTACATTTGTACAGCACCTGCTTACCCAGAGTCTCCCAGCCCAACCCCTCCCCTCAGGGCTGAGCCCCCCACCCCCAGGGGGCCGAGCTCCTCTCTCCCCCCCGGGGCTGAGCTCCTCTCTCCCCCCCGGGGCTGAGCTCCTCTCTCTCCCCCCCCCCCCGGGGCCGAGCTCCTCTCTCCCCTCGGGGGCTGAGCTCCTCTCTCCCCCCCCCGGGGCCGAGCTCCTCTCCCCCCGGGGCCGAGCTCCTCTCCCCCCGGGGCTGAGCTCCTCTCCCCCCGGGGCTGAGCTCCTCTCCCCTCTCGGGGGCTGAGCCCCCCCCCCGGGCCTTACCTTGGTAGCGGGTGTCTATCTCCCGGAGGCGGGACACTCCGCGCTGCAGCTCGAGGGGCAGCGCCTCCACACTCTCCAGATAGTGAGACACGTACCGGGCCGTGCGGGGCTTCTCGGCCGCCGGGCAGTGAGGCAGCATAGTGCGGAGACCTGCCGCCGGGCCGCGCCGGGCCGGGCCGGGCCGGGCAAGGGGCAGGCAGAGCAGCAACCTCCCGGGGCGGGCTAGGCCGGGCTCCCGGGGCGGGCTGGGCCGGGCTCCCGGGTCGGGCTGGGTCGGGCTGGGCCGGGGAGCTGCGCTGCGCTGCACTGGGGGAGGTCGGGGCCTGAACCGCGGTCACTTCAAACTGACTGGCCCGCGCCTGTCACCACGTGATACAGTGCGGGGGGGGGGGGGGGAGAGGGGGGGAATGGTCACTGCCATCAAATAATTAAACAAAAATATACATATATTTTAAAAAAGTCGACGGGACCAACCGACCTCTCCGCTCGCACAGGTTCTCTCCGTTTTTCACCCCTTTTTAAAAAAAAAAGGTTCATTTTTTTTTCCTTCTTCTCTTCAGCCCAGAGCGGTGGGTTGCCATGGTGACCGGCCGCAGCCGCAGCCGCAGCGGCGGTTGGGGCCTAGTACTTTTTTTTCAAACAAAAAAGGCAGCGCCCTGAGAATGAGCCCCGTGCTGTTGGTGCGCTCCCCCCCTCACCGAGGAGGGAGCCACACTACCTGCGTAACTACCGGCTGTGACGGAGGCCCCCAAGTCGGCGCTCACACGCTCGGCCAACTCCCGGCGTCTTGGCGGTGATCGTGAGCTGCGGTGACGGGGGCTGTACCGCCGATGAGGCGGGAGCACTCGCTGCTCTGGGGTCCGGGGACTTTCCCCTAGGCGGGCAGTGATGGCGAGGAACCGAGTCCTCAGTCTGTAGCCTAGTGAACAGGTCTTCAGAGCGCTTCGTTATACAAGGTCGGCATCGCCCGCCTTAAATACCCCCAAAGAGAGGACCACTTCACGCTTGCGGTGCGCTGGGCTTAACTAACGTCGTCTTGTTTTTTTTTAAAAAAAGAGAGGCTTTTTACAACACAAAGCGCACCGGACTCCCTCTTCGGGATGTTTGAAAGGCTTTTTTTTTCCCCCCAAAAAAAATACTTGTGGAGGTTTCGCGCATAAATTATGCTAATTGAGATGCCCTTAAATGGACAGATTCCAGTCGGTCCCTCTGAAACGGTCACAACTCGGGACAAAACTCGTACTGTTTGGCTTTGGGGTTTTTTTTTGGGGGGAGGAGGGGGTTTTGGGGGCGAAAGTAGTGCTCTCTGCAGATTTGTGTCCGGCACCGCTTTCTTCAGCCTTATGGACACGCGGCAAAACCTCGGCTGATCGTGTCGTCAAAACGTCTCAAAATTCCTCACGGGATTTCACTGTGAAGTGTCGGAGGAAGTCTTCTCAAATAGTCCCACGGGATCTTTGACATCCACATGACATCCACATGAGCGGGCGGGCGGGCGGATTTAATCAGATTTAACGTCTAATCTGAAGAATGGCACTTCTTACAAGTGCAGAGCATCTCCTTGAGTTCAAAGTCCCGTTGTGCACCTTTTACTGACGCCCCCCCCCCCCCCCCCCCCCCACTTACTTGAGACGAAAATATCACGAGGCTGAGAACGGACACAATAAAGATGAGAATTGATGAGATGAAGCTGTATTCCCTTTGGATCACCGTGCAAACACACACATCATATTCAAATGTCTCACGAGTTGAGTTGGCCTGCAATAAAACATTCATTTTAGCGCTCTGGGACGTCTTTAAGCGTCCTGTGAGGTCTTTAAGCGCTCTACCCTGCGTAAGGGACGCTATATAAATGCAAATTATTGTTGTTGAAGGGTGCTATACAAGTGTGATTTGTTGTTCTTTATACATTTTATTTGTAAAGCATTTTAGCTTTGAGGCTTTTATTTTATATGAAAGGTGCTATGTAAATGCAAGCTGTTGTTATCGCGATTAGTTACTACAGATAAATTTTGTACTATGCCACGATGGAAATGAGTAGAAAAATACAGTTTAGTATTTTTCTATAATAACGCTGAGCAAATAGATGCAGACAACCACGTTGTCTTCAAATATGAATTTGTGATTTGGCTACCATGTCTTGAATTTTTTTGTTAGCTGGGTATATGATTGGAGAAATCCAATCACTTTGCTCGGTAGTATCTGAATCAAACAGATAGTTCCTTTCAAATGTGTAATATTCCTGTGTTGGGAATGGAATATATACTCTCTCCTAGAGGTCTCCTAGAGTCTTGAGGGACTCACTCTGCTTACTTAATTCTAGAGACTATTAGGCAGAAGTTGGCAAGAGCCAAGATTTGGGAACCTGAAAGTGTATCTGAGGTACTGCTGGAGTTTAACCTACATGAGAATAAAAATAACCATCTAAAGTACTAATTGTACATATTTTTCCAAAAGTGTACAATTTTTGGATGGAACAGACTTTGATCGATTGCATTTCTAACTTAAAGAACCCCCACAGCAATCAAAGTTTCATTTCCACATTGATTTGGAAAACATATAATCACCTATAGTCTCTCTCCCAATTGTACCCTCTGCCCTCTTCCTTCACTATCCAATTCCTAATTCCTCTCGCTCTGCCACTCCACCCTATCGTACCCCTCTTCTCCCACCCACCAAAACAGTTTAATCAACTAAAACAGCAGTCTCATTGCGAGCATTGACTGACAAGATTTCCACTACCTGTCCATTAGTGTAGGGATATTCCTAAAATAAATCAGACTTAGCATTTCTGAAGAGCATCCAGTACCTGATGAAAACTACATACAGTGAGAGGATGAGTTTACCTGGAAGTGATGCCCACCTACACCTATAGTTGAAATGCTTTGTGCTCGGACATGAGGAGTGGCTGGTCATTGCCAGAAATTGCATCCCAACAAAAGTTACCATCTTCAGGGGAGGGGTGAAATTGCCGCCAAAAATTAAGGTACAAAATACATTTTCCGAAAAGTGTACAATTCTTGGCTTAAACAGACTTAGTTAATTTGCACGTCTACAAAAGAACCCCAACTGCAATCAGTTCCATTTCAACATTGTTTGGGATTCACTGAGTTCATTTTGAGCTTTTTAAAAATAAATATTTTGAAAGTCATGCGTTCCAAGTTGCTGATTTGTAGGTTAGCACTGATATTGAAATGCAGTGAAGGGATTTGAAGATTACTTTCATACACAAGAGAGCTCTTTCAACATTTGTACAAATCCTTCTCTTTTGAGCTCCATGATTTTAATCTCAGGCCAACCATTGATAATCTTTACATTTGATGAAAAGCTCTTTACAGAGAATTACTGAAAAGTGACTACACTTCTAGGCAAATAATGCATGCAGAAATGCTCCAGAAACAACCATGAAATAGGTGTTGTTGACCCTGGGACAGAACCCGAGAGCTCAAACGCTTGACGTAGGTCTTGAATCCACAACCTTCTATAAAATAATAATAATCTTTGCATGATACAGTAGTCCTGTAGCGTATTGTTTAGACAGTTGCAAGTGAGAGGACCTGGGTTTGATTCCTAGGCAGGGAAAACATTTTGATTCCCTAACGTTTCACCTCGGCCGGTAATTGAACCCGTGTCTTTCGCTTGCGAGGCGAGTGTTCGAATTTTTAGCTCATTGTAGGATGACACTCCCATACAATGCTGGGGGAATGCTGAATTGTCAAGTGGTGCCGTCCATCAGATGAGACATTAAGCCAAGTCTTATCTGCCTGTTCATGTGGCTCTTAAAAGAACCCTCTACTGGAAAAAAGAAGGCAGTTTCTCCCTGTGTCCATGCCAACAATTGTCCAGATAAAATTGGTCATTCTCTTCATGGTTGTTTGTGGGACACTGCTATGCACAATCTTGCTCAGCAGTGTTGTATTGTGTTTGCCTACAAAATACATGGTCACTACAATGTACAGTAAATCATGTGAAGCACTTTGAGACACTTTGATTATGTGATAAGGTATATCAAATGCAAAAATTAATTTGAAGTTAAGATTATAACAGCTAAAAGGGAATTGAATAAGTACTTAAAGAGCAACAACATTAAAGGGTATAGGGCATTGGGAATGAAGTTGATAGCTCCAGCATAGAGTACTTTAAGTACTTAAATTCTATGCTTCAATGTGCTTCTAAGCAACACATTTACATTTATATAGTGCTTTTTATGTTGGGTTGAAATTGAAACTGCTTTCTTCTGTTAGAACTTCAGTGATCTGGAAACTACGACACACAATATAATCTGATTGGACATTTTGCTTGGCATAAGGAATCCTTTAGGGGAGTATAATAATTAGCAATTTAACAGTAACTGTCACTAAGTTTGGGATTCTTTTCCTATTTGGTTTTGCAGGTCATTTTTTAAGTGATAGATTATTAGTTAAGAGCTCAAAATTGGTTTGTTGAATGAGTAGGTCATAGTGAGTTGAATAAGCTGAAAAGAGTTTAATGTTTACACACTAAAGTGACTGATCAAGCATTTCAATGTTTGCACATTTTGTTTCTCCCTCCCTCTCTTATCCAGTCCGACTACTTAAATTACTTAATGTGTATTTTTTATTCTCAGCATAAAATTACGATAAGAAAAATGGGAAGTAGAAACTAAAAGACAGAAGTCTGTGTCAAACACAAGGAAGATATAGGGAAGAGATAGAGATGACTGAGTGTATAAGAGAAGAGTGAAAGACAGTGAGTGACACAAAATGTGAAGGAATCAAAGAAAGGGAAAAATTTACAAAGACTGACGACGCATGGGAGGGAATTTCTGAGGTTATAGGTATTCTTACTAGAAGTTCTGCCACTAATACCCTGTTGAACCCTTCACTATCTGGATTAATACATGAACAGCTATTTTATATAATATATAATAATAATCCTTGCATTTGATATAGTGCTTTCCACGTCTTATAGATGTCTCAAAGTGCTTCACAGAATATACTATAAAGTGAATTTGTGGGCGAAACGCAACAGCCAATTGCACACAGCAGTGTCCCACAAACAGTCGTGGATTGAAAATGACCAATTTATTACTTTTTTTTGGAGGGATTATTATTTTGTATATTTTGGTGCAATACCACAGGGTGTGGGGAACCTTACCCCAGCATGTGTATTAGAAGAGAAAAATTAGTCATGTAATGCAAATGCAAATACTAAGTTATTCAGTGCAGTACACATAAAAATATTCAGACAGTCCGAATATTCATCACACATTCAGATGTTCAGAAACTAGATTAAATTGTGTTGAATTTATTTTCAATTTCATTGTACAGGTAACAAATATAATCTTTCACCATTTCAATAACATCTATTGCTTGCAGGTTACAATTACCATTTCTGCCGTTTCCTCACCGCAAAGCAGTAAAAACAAATTAAATTATGCACTATTCTTCTGTGTATACTTTTGCTACCATCTGAAACTAGTCACTATTTTCTTAAGTGCATCAGTAGGCATTCAAAACATTAATCCCTACCACTGACAATTTCTGAACAATTGTGTTCTAGGTAGAGACATTTTACAAATCTGGTTCCTGGTGGAAGGCACAACACTTCTGTGCATAGTCTTGATCCAACATAGTAAAATGGACTCATTTAATACTTGTATTTGCTGTCTACTGAATCTTGTCGCTAGAATATCCTTCTAGTAAATGATCCATAAAATTATCTGGATTACATCAAACATATAGAAACAGAACACTGTCACACGAAATATATTACCTGGAGGTTAAATCACAATTCACTTGAAAGCAGAAATCAAACTGTGTGAACGGCATCTCCAAATTCTAAATGAAGATTTGGTAAGACTGTACTTACACCTGAATGAAATGGAAAGGGGGCAGGTGCATCATCAACTATTCAGAATTTGATAAGAACAGTTCTTAAAAAAGGAACTGAAACACAAACATTTTCAGTGTGATAATTAGCAACAATGGAAATATTTGAGGAAATACATTGCCTCAATTTGTTAATAGAGTACAGGCTACCTGCACAGCTTGGGGTTTACTTACAAGCAGAAGCAATCCAGAGTAAAACCCAAAAATGTATATTATCCCCACTGAAATCGCATATAAATCTTGCAGGGTTAAATTCTGGAGTTTTGCTTTATCTTCTAAATAAGGTACTAAGAGACTTTAGCTCATCAATTCAACTGCCAGGATTTCATCAGATTTTGTCAATACCTCTCAAGTGCCTCCCTATTTAAGCTCAACTGTTGATTTTTATAGTATAACTTATAATAATTCTTGCATTTGATATGGCGCTTTATCATAGTTGAGATGTCTCAAAGCGCTTCACAGGATATATTGTAGATTGGATTGACTATGTATTTTGTGGGCGAAACGTGGAAGCCAGTTGTGCACAGTAAGGTCCAACACGGAATGAGTGACCAATTTTATTTGAGGGATTGTTGGCCAGGACAGAGAGAAGCTCCCTTCTCTTTTCGAATAGTGCCATGGGATCTTTAACATCCACCTGAACAGGCAGATGGGACCTCAATTTAATGTCTCATCCAAAGGACCGTAAGTTCCTTGTTGTGTAATATTCAACTGTATATAGCCTTGTTCATATGTTCTGTTATTGCACAGCTTGCTTGGATGCTGCCAAATATGTCATTAAGTGATTAAAAGTTTACCCGGTGTCAAATATCCTGCAGGACAATAGTCCGAGCATGTCTTGTTTCAGGGCCTGAAGAGTTTGCTTAGAGTTTCCATGGAATTCATTTATAACCAGGATTTCAATACACTAAACAAAATCAAAATTCAATAGACACCAGAAGAAAAAATGAAATATTAGAATGAAAGCACGAGGAAGGATGTTAAAGGAGCTTTATTTTCGTACAACTGGCATCAAACTGACAGCAGAATCAGAAAAGTCAATTTTGTATCAAAAAGGAATGCAATTGAAAGATTAGCAGATGAGAAGCTACTAATACCTTACCAGCTTGAGGGAATAGGCCGAGCAGGCAAACTAATGGATTCCCATTAGTTCTGTCATTCTTACTTAACTAAAGGGAGGCAAATTCAAATACATCAAGATAAATACAACATAATTCCTTTTTGGATGATGGGGGGGGGGGGGGGGGAAGAGGTAAATGTTTGTGTTCAAAGTGAAGAATGCCAGTGACGGGTTATGGAATGCCCTTCCATTTTAAGAAGCATCAAGCACTCAGCCATGGGGCAACCAGATTCAAATTAAAGCTCCCTCTTATTCAACAATGCGCCTTATAATAAATCTCTGAAACACACCTTCACTGAAAAATTGTGATTTGATTCCTCCTACATATTCTATCCTATCCTTATGTCCTGAATGTGAATGCCAACTTTGAACAATTTTCTCACAGGTTGTGAGGTCACACACCAAAGATTACAGGTTTAAGTTGCATAACCTTATTTCAATTAGGAAAGAAAAAAACATTCTGTATATCAATTGTTTGAAAATATAAGTTAACACATACAGCCCCTTCAAGATAATGTTGTAATTCAAATGACTACCAGGAAATTTTTGGTACCGTATTTGAACGAGTACTTTTTTCAGAAAAGACCAGACGTTAATTTTCATATTAAACTTGGGCCAGGTATCCAAAAAAAGTTTTAACTTTTTTTAAAAAAACAGTACTTTTAGAAACTACAGGAAGTTATTTCTATCTCACCTTTGAGACAAACTTGTAACCAATAGCTGTAAAATACTTCTTAAACTCATAATAACTCCACAATTATCAATTTCCTGTATTCTTACAAGTGCATTTTTTTTAAATGTTCTATTTTCTTGATCAGAAAAAAAAACATTTACAAGGTTGTTTTTTTACCTTGCACAGGACTCTAAGGGATTTATTAATGCAGGAGCAAGATTTAGCCGATGCAAGTCTTCACATAAAAGTACTAAGTCTTCAATTTCATTTCCTTTAAATCTTCTTTTACATATCTTTACTGTAACTTTGTGTTTCAAGAACAATTTAATAGCTTCCTTAGCAGCCATTTCTGTGGCGCTCACTTTGCATTTTCCGTAGCCTGTAGCCAAATAAACAGATTTACATCTTAGTTCGCAAACAATTCCTTCACGGGCAGAGCTTTGTGGCAGGTGCAGTTCAGATATGTCTTTCAAAGGAACGTACACAGAATCCAAGGTACTCTTCGCCGCCTCAATGCAGTTGTTCAACATCTCAAAGTGTTTAATGTCATTACTGAAACCACCAGCTGAGACAAGTTTCCACGCTATAGCCTTGTAGAGTTTATTGTAGAATGTTTGTTTTTCTTTCATAACTTCAGGAGTTAGATTAACAGTTGTTAAGGAAGTCTTGCAGCTTTGTGAGGTGGGAGTCTGGACAGCTCTCTGTGGGATAGAAGCCTGAGCAGATCTTTGTGGGATTAAAGCCTGAAGATCTCTTAGCGGGACGGAGGCCTGAACAGCTTTTTTGGGGATGGAAGTCTGAACTAGTTTTTGCAAGAGAGGAGTCTGAACAGGTTTTTGTGGAATAGTGGGAACAGATTTTTGTGGGATAATAGTGGGAACAGGTTTTTGTGGGATAATAATGGGAACAGGTTTTTGTGGGATAATAGTGGGAACAGGTTTTTGTGGGATAACAATGGGAACAGGTTTTTGTGAGATAGGAGTCTGTACAGATTTTTGTGGAATGGAAGTCAGAACAGGTTTTTGTGGGGCAGGAGTCTGAACAGGTTTTTGTGGGGCAGGAATCTGAACAGGTTTTTGCGAGATAATAGTGGGAACCATTTTTTGTGAGATAGGAAGAGTCTGTACAGATTTTTGTGGGATGGAAATCGGAACAAGTTTTTGTGGGGCAGGAGTCAGAACAGCTTTCTGGGAACTCTCCACAGATCTGCTGCCATTTTGAATATTTGGTTGAACTTTGGACTTGACTTCTCCAGATGGACCAGGCATGGTCTGTGCTGAAGCCCCAGGCTGACTTGGCACTGCCTGCTGATGACAGACGGGATCTGACTCTTGAGTGACAATTAGTTTTCCTTCACTTTCTCTTGAGGCATCTGTTTGGTTTGAGTTGTTAGTTGGTGCTGAAGCGATCTGGTCATCCTCTTGGGGCTTTGACAAAGCTTCTGATGATCCACTAGGGGAAAAACCATCCAGACCTGGGATTCTGTTCAGACAAACATCATGGTCACTATTTCCGGCGCCTTCAGAGGTCAAAGCAAATCCTCCAGGTGCATCTTCTTTGACTAGTTGTTTCTTTGGGCAAGGTTGTTCTCCTATTCCTTCTGTTGAAATAAACAATCATGTATGGAATCTACATTATAGAATACATTTCAGTTTGAAGCTATAATAATAATAATATAATAATAATCCTTGCATTTGATATAGCGCTTTTCACATCGGGAGGACGTCCCAATGCGCTTCACAGAATATACTGTAAAGTGAATTGACTGTATATTTGTGGGCGAACGCGGCAGCCAATTGCGCTCAGCAATGTCCCACAAACAGTCGTGGATTGAAAATGACCAATTTATTATTGTTTTTGGTTTTGGAGGGATTATTATTAGGCTCTGTGTGGAGTAAGGAAACTTGCCCAAGGTTTCGCCCTCTGCCTGGAATTGAACTCAGGTCTCTCACTTGCAAAGCGAGTGCTCTAACCACTGAGCTACAGGACTCTACTTAGCTATTCACTGTTTAACAGGATTCACATTTTTGCATCTGAAACATTTCAAAGCACTAGTGACACGATATGAGGATATTGAGTGTCAGATGAGCACTGCATTTATAACAACAATAATCCTTACATTTGGTATAGCGCCTTTCACATCGGGAGGATTTCCCAAAAGCATTACACAGAATATACTGTAAAATGCAGGGACTTATTTTGTGGGTGACGTGGAGGCCAATTTGTACACATTAATCACTGACAAGCAGCCATGAAGTGAATGAGCAATTTGATTTGATTCAGAATTATAATTTTTCTTATAATAATTTCATAATTTTAGTTCTCCTCAAAATACTAAAAAGTTACACACGGTATGGTTAAGACAGCTATCATTGGTTTTACAATATTTTTATCATTCATTAATCTGTGCTAAATTTACAAACTGTAACTCATTCAAAACCTGGCAACCAAGTATAGTCTTGAGCTGCCCTGGCTGTTCACTTTGCTCAGATAACACTGGCATGTTTCATGTCTCCCACACAATCTGCCCCACAATAATAGACAGGTTTTCAGCCATTCTACCTCAGGCTACTGGAACTGCTTCCTTCCGTCCCACCTTTAAAGCCCACCTCAAGATCTATCTTTTCAACCTTGCTTTCGGTCACCTTTCCTTCCTCCTCACCTTCCTTAGCCCCGACCTACACACAAACAACTCAACAGTGAAACGTTTTGAGATGTACTCCTGACATGAAAGGATGTGCAATATTGTTTTATATAGCTAATCGCTAACCTTTGCTGTCGGAAAGCTCCCTTTTCTTCACCTTATTGGCAACCTGCTCATCTTTTGTTGTAGCAACTGGAATATCTGTAACAAATATTTAGAAACTATAACAACAAGAAATCAATTATAACTGTCAGAATTCAACCACAAAAATAGTTAGCAACTATATATTTGATAGATGCTGTTCTACCACAAGTGAATAAAATGTAATTAATAATCTGAAATAGCTAAGAAAGATTGGAATAACCTTTAAAGTATAGTTAATCTGCTAACCTTTGCTGGTTGAAACCTCTGTTTTCTTCACTTTATTGCCAACCAATTCACTTCTCAATGTGTGGCTAGGAGCATCTTTAATTTTTATGTCCTCTCCCATTTCCAGCACTTTATCCATCACCTCCTTTGTGTACCTAAGTTACAAACAACAAACAGTGTCAACTGGTTATCGGGTATACAACAAACTCTACAGTGTAGACTGTAACAAGTAGCTGATTGAATCAGGCTGGAATAAAAAGATATAGCCATTGTAAATCATCTGATTCAGTTCTACACATTCTTGACCCCTCTTCTTTGAAAAGTACATCTGGTTACAGCCTGATTCAATTGGTGGCATTCTCACTTATGAGCTGGGCCAATAAACCCTAAGATATTTTTAAAATCTTGATGATGACACTGCCAACTAGATAGAGTTTAGAATTGTGATCTATTGTTTATTGTATAGTTTTGTATACTTCCACTGTGTATATTAGATTTCTGAATAAGTAAATGGGTTTCAGTAAAGTTCACGACTCTACATCTGGATGTAAAAGATGCAAGTATCATTTTTTTTGCAATCTTGGAAAAAGGTTATGTCCTTGCACATTTGTGTTGAATTCACCTGTAACTATTGCACTGTTTAAAATGCTAAAATTACGTTGATACTCTACATGAAAGGTGATTTACAAGTGGAAGTTGTTGTTACATGGACTTGTCAAAAGTAAGATTACAGCCATCTTTGGTGAAATCAGGATTCCACATCCTGCAAATCAGTGTTATGAAGACTCCCTGGTCAATCATGAGCCATGGTAATAAAATAATCGTGCGCCCGTTTTGGTGGAATCAATTGGTTTTCGCCGCCAGAACAGCTTAGAACCTTCAGCAACTAATTCTTCCCTTTACTCCAATTTAGCAGCCCGTCCTGCCCGCAGCTGTGTCACCGTTTCAGTTAGTACAGGGCCATTAGTATAATAATAATAATCCTTGCATTTGATATAGCGCTTTTCACGTCTTCTTGACGTCCCAAAGCGCTTCGCGGAATATACTGTAAAGTGAATTGACTGTATATTTGTGGGCGAACGCGGCAGCCAATTGCGCACAGCAATGTCCCACAAACAGTCGTGGATTGAAAATGACCAATTTATTATTGTTTTGTTTTTTTGGAGGGATTATTATTAGGCGTGTGGAGTAAAGAAACTTGCCCAAGGTTTTGTACTACAGTTAATAGTTCCTGTAACTAACACCTTTGTTACTGGCATCTGTTCATTTCAAAAACAAGCCGAGCGTGCCAGCATATCTGCCAGCTCGTTGCCATTTGTATGTAACCCATATTTATGATGCTCTGAAGTGTGCCAAATGTGCATCACAGGTGTTTCCATTTTTTCGCCCCAAATATCTTTGTATTCTAAGGGTTTTCCCTTATGGTTTGTCCAATTTTCAGTAGCTCAATTAACCAGGTCATCTAAATATGCTTTGCAAACAAAACAGAGTCGGAAAAATAATCACTGCTTTTGTACCCAATGGGAGAAGCTTTAAAGCCTCCAGCAGGGAAATGGCTTCAGCTACATGTGCCAACAAACTTCTGCATGGAATCGCATATTTTCCCAATTCTTCCCACCCGCTGCAGTCCACTTACCCATGGCATTGCCTATCCCTGCCTGTCTCTTTTGGTCTATTTCTTGGGCAGACCCGTCATAGTAAATAAGTCAATCCCTCAACCAGTTCCCAATGCTCAATCTCCACTGGGGGTTTAATCTCCGGTAACAAACACTCCAGTTTAATGGAGAGTTTGCCACTTTTAACTCTTCCTCCTACTCGCACTCTGACCTCTCCATCCATGGTCTCCTACGCTGTTCTGATGAGCCACAGGACAAGCTCAAGGAACAGTACCTCATCTATCTGCTGGGGACCTTACAGTCCTCTGGCTTCAATATTGATTTCAACAATTTCAGACCGTAACAGCTCACCTTCCCCCTCCCCCTCTTCTGTGACCATTACCACATCATCTGGGTCCCAGACACACCTTTTCTCTCTCCTATTTTGTTGCAATTTTCTCCCCCTTTGTTTTGCATTAACAACACCTCTTTTCCCCTGTTTTATTGCATTCCTTCCTTTGTTTTGCATCATTACCATCTTTGTAACCCATCATCCCCTGTCCTCTAGCCCATTTTCCAACTTTATTTTCACCATAGATGCTGCCTACCTGCTGAGTGATCTGAGTGACTTCTGTTTTTACTCCAGTTTAATGTCAGGTTCCTCTTTAGTTTTAAATTCCACTGTGGGTTCTTGCAAGAGACTCTCCCACAGTGCCTACCGCTGTTTCAGTGCTTTTTTTGTCTTACTCTTATACGAGCTGTAGAACGAATCCCCACACATCGAGTAAAAATAATAGTTTTCTCGCAAGGCTGTGCTGGGTTTCTGACTTTAGCTACACGGTAGTAGACGCTGCTAATGTTCTTCCAGGTCAAATGTTTTCGCTGCTTAGGAGAACTCGAATAGTTTTTTTTATCCTGTCCGATTTTTCCAATGGCGTTTTTTTCCCCATTTGAAAAATTTCTATCAAATCCGTACCTCTTACTCTAACGGCTAAAGGGCACCCTTGCAAAACTGCCTTTTGCAATTCCCCAATTTCCACGGGAAACTGGGCAGAAATTTTTACACTCTCAACACCTCACAATTATGTTAGCCTCTGGTAAAGAGGTCACACCATGATAATAATAATAATAATAATCCTTGCATTTGATATAGCGTTTTTCACGTCGGGAGGACGTCCCAAAGCGCTTCACAGAACACACTGTAAAGTGAATTGACTGTATATTTGTGGGCGAACGCGGCAGCCAATTGCGCACAGCAATGTCCCACAAACAGTCGTAGATTGAAAATGACCAATTTATTATTGTTTTTGGTTTTGGAGGGATTATTATTAGGCTCTGTGTGGAGTAAGGAAACTTGCCCAAGGTTTCGCCCTCTGCCTGGAATTGAACTCAGGTCTTTCACTTGCAAAGCGAGTGCTCGAACCACTGAGCTACAGGACTCCACAATGATGGTGTAATTAAGAACATAGTCGTCACGAGTTTAATTGCACAATCCTTAAATCCCTTGGAGTTGGCTCCGATTTTTGAGTGTTTTTAATTTTCTAATTTTCTCCAGATATCCCTCGAAGAGTCCCACTCTGTCATCTGACACAATATGCCCCAGGAATTCTACTTAGAATCTTCCTTTTTGGCTTTTACGTAAATTTATTTTAAAGCCTGCAGTGGTCAGCGGCTGCAGCACTTGTTTTAATTTGTCCATATGCGCGATAGGGTCGTCATCTTTTAAAAAAAACTTAACATTTTTTTTAAAAAATCCCTAAAATCCAGAATGAGAGAGAGAGGAGGATGGCATGGCAGGTGATGTGCGAGGACTGCGGTATGTGGGAGCTGATGGAGGGCAGCCTGAGCCCGGGCGACTTCATCTACAGCAAGTGTCTGCAACTGAGGAAGCTCCGCTGAGCAGAGTAGCTGAGCTGGAATCTGAGGTGCAGACATTGCGCAGTATTAGGGAAAGGGGGAGCTTCCTCGACAGTTTCATCCTGGAGCCAGTCACTCCCCTGAGGCTCAGGGAACGTATAGATTACGTTACTAGTCAGGGACAGGACAGAGTAACTGATAATCAGGCAGGTAAGGGGACCCCAGAGAGAGTAGCGGGGAAGCCCCAAATAGAAACAAACGGGTATGATCTAGTACCCATTACTGAGACGTGGTTACAGGGAGATCAAGGGTGGGAGCTAAATATTCCGGAGTATTCGGCATATACGAAAGATAGGCAATGTGTAAAACGAGGTGGGGGGGGGGGGGGGGGGTAGCCCCGCTAATAAAGGATGGGATAAAAACGGTAGAGAGGAAGGATTTTAAATCAGAAAATCAGGATGTGTATGACTACATACACGTATGGAATTACGAAATATCAAGGGGTAGAAATAACAAGGGAGTAGTTTATAAACCCCCGAACAACAGTCACAGTATTGCGCAGAGTATTAACTAGGAAATTATTGGAGCATGTAGAAAAGGAAATACACTAATAGTGGGTGATTTTAATCTTCATATAGATTGGGAAAACCAAATTGGCAAACGTTACAGGAGGAGCTTATAGAATGCATTAGAGATAGTTTTCTCTATCAATATGATGAGGAACCAACCAGGGAACAGGCGATCCTAGATCTTGTTTTGTGTAATGAAATAGGGCTAATGAGCAATCTGGAAGTCAAGGCTCCTCTGGGGCAGAGTGACCATAACATGATGGAATTTAACATTAAGTTAGAGAGTGATGTAGTTAAGTCTGAAGCAAAGGTCTTAAATTTAAATAGAGTCAACTTTGCAGGTATGAGAGAAGATTTAGCTAAAATACACTGGGGAATTAGATTAAAGGATATGACAGTAGACCAGTAATGGCAAACCTTTAGAGATATAGTACATAATTCCCAGTGATCACATATTCCCTTGTGGAATAAAAATATCACGGGAAAAATGGTTCAACCATGGCTAACTAGAGCAGTTAGGGAAGGTATAAAATTAAAAGAGACCTTTAGTACTGCGAAAAATAGCAGTAAACCCGAGGATTGGGAGGGCTTCAGAGACCAACAAAGAAAAACTAAGAAAATGATTAGGAGGGAGAAAATGGATTATGAGGGCAAACTAGCGAGGAACATAAAGACAGACTGCAAGAATTTTTACAAATACATAAAGAGGAAGAGACTAGCAAAAGTGAATGTGAGTCCATTACAGGCAGAGACAGGAGGAATTATAATGGGGGACAAAGATATGGCATTAAACAAATACTTTGCTTCTGTCTTCACATTAGAAGACACGGAAAACTTACCAAAAATAGAGAGAAACCAAGAAGCTAATGTTAGTGAGCAACTTCGGGAAATTAACATCAGTAAAGAATTAGTACGAGGGAAACTGTTGGGATTGAAAAATGACAAATCCCCTGGACCTGATGGCCTACATCATAGGGTTTTAAATGGCTGCTGAGATAGTGGATACCTCATTTTTGATCTTCCAAAATTCTCTGGATTCTGGAACGGTTCCCATTGAGTGGAAGATCGCAAACATAACACCACTATTTAAGAAGGGTGGGAGAGAGAAGATGGGGAACTGTAGACCAGTCAGTCTGACATCGGTGGTAGGGAAAATTCTATAATAATAATCCTTGCATTTGATAAGCACTTTTCACGTTGGGAGGACGTCCCAAAGCGCTTCACAGAACACACTGTAAAGTGAATTGACTGTATATTTGTGGGCGAACGCGGCAGCCAATTGCGCACAGCAATGTCCCACAAACAGTCGTAGATTCAAAATGACCAATTTATTATTGGTTTTGGAGGGATTATTATTAGGCTCTGTGTGGAGTAAGGAAACTTGCCCAAGGTTTCGCCCTCTGCCTGGAATTGAACTCAGGTCTCTCACTTGCAAAGCGAGTGCTCTAACCACTGAGCTACAGGTCTCCACAAAGGATCCTTAATTAGGGACGTTGTGGGGTACTTAGAGGACCATAACACGATTAAGCAGAGCCAACATGGCTTTACAAAAGGGAAGTCATGCTTAACAAATCTTTCAGAGTTTTTTTGAGGATGTAACTAATAGGTTAGATTGGGGGGAACCAGTAGATGTAGTATATTAAGATTTTCAGAAGGCGTTAGACAAGGTGCCACATATAAGGTGCTATACAAGATTAGGGCCCATGGAATTAAAGGCAATATATTAGCATGGATCGAAGAGTGGCTAACGGGAAGAAAACAGAGAGTAGGGATAAACGGGTCCTCAGATTGGCGGGATGTGACTAGTGGAGTGCCACAAGGATCAGTGCTTGGGCCTCAACTATTCACAATCTATATCAATGATCTGGACGAGGACATAGAACTTAAAATATCTAAATTCACGGATGATACTAAGCTAGGTGGGAGAGTAAGCTCTGAGGATGACACAAAAAGATTGCAAAGAGATATAGATAGGCTAGGTGAGTAGACAGGAAGGTGGCAGATGGAATATAATGTGGGGAATTGTGAAGTTATTCACCTAGGTAGTAAAAGCAGAAAAGCAGATTATTTTCTAGAAGGGGAAAGACTAGTTAGTGTTAGTGTTCAGAGGGATTTGGGTGTCCTTGTACACCAGTCACAAAAAGTTAATATGCAGGTACAGCAAGCAACTAGGAAGGCTAATGGCATGTTGGCGTTTATTGCAAAAGGGTTAGAATACAAGAGCTGGGAATTCTTGCTGCGACTGTATAGGGCCTTGGTGAGACCGGGCCTAGAATATTGTGTGCAGTTTTGGTCTCCTTATTTAAGAACATACTCGCCTTAGAGGGGGTGCAGTGTAGATTCACTAGATTAGTTCCTGGGATGAGGGGGTTGACCTATGAGGATAGGTTGAGTAAACTGGCCTATATTCTCTAGAATATAGAAGAATTAGGGTTGATCTTATAGTAACATATAAGATTCTTATGGGGCTTGACAGAGTAGACAATGTGAGACTGTTTCCCTGGTAGGAGAATCTAGAACTAGGGGTCACAGTCTTAAGATTAAGGGACAGCCCTTTCCAAGAGTTGAGGAAACACTTCTTCACTCAGAGGGTAGTGAATTTATGGAATTCTCTACCCCAGAAGGCTGTAGATGCTCAGTTCTTGAATATATTCAAGACTGAGATTGATAGGTTTCTAAAGGATAGAGGGATTAAGGGATATGGGGATAAGGCGGCAGATGGAGTTAGGTTAGAAGATCAGCCATGATCTTATTGAATGGCGGGGCAGGCTCGAGGGTCCGAATCGCCTCCTAATTCCTCTGTTCCTATCTGCCAAGAATATATCCCCAACGTAACAATTTATCCCTGGTATCCCTATTACCGTTTACAAAACAGAAAATAGGTGTGACCGAACACCCGACATCTGGACTTTCACTCGCTCTGCTTTCCCTCACCTCAGAAACAGTGCCCACCTTTACCACTACTTTTCTCTTGTGATGCTTAGCTGAGATGATGAATTGCTCATCGCCTCAGTATTTGATTACTCCAAACCCTTGCTTACCAACCTCCCCCGCTGCAGACCATCCAGAACACTGCAGCCTCTGTCTCAGACCAGTTTCTGAATGCGCTTGGCTCCACTGGCTCTCCATCTCCCAACAGACCAAATGAAACATCCAAGAACAAATTATTCAACCCTCCAACTGGTGGAACCATCGCTCAATGGAGGATGTGTCCGAGCTGTGGACAAGAATACGGTAGCAATGCTCTCATGCCTTTCATGTTGAGATGTGTTGCCCACCGGGAAGGTTGCAGGGAGTTCCTTGGGGTGGGGAGAGGTAAGCGCTGTCTCCTTGGAGGTGAAGTGGCTCCAAGGTGACTTGCCTGGCAACGGAGTGTCAGAATTGAGCCAACTCTCTGTAGTCCAGTTCCTGAGCCAGGCAGGTCCACTGTATTCCAGGGCATTACTGATGACAGCACAACCAGTCTGGCTCATTGGTAGGACCTGGAAGGGCAGACCAGTCACTGGGGGCAGTCATCCCATTCAGCTCTGTTAACTCTACAAGCCAAGGCCCTAATGGGTAGAGTGGTCATAGCTGCACAAGCAGTGGCGAGGTACGTGGTTTTAGCTACTCAGAACTCAGCAGTACCCCAACACACACACTGGCGGCCCCAAGTCTTGGCTCTTGCCAACCTGCGGAAAATAATTTCCAGAATTAGGTAAGCGGGATGTGTTCCAACAATGTATCTCTGGGATTGTAGATTCCGTGTGTAGATGGGATGCGTGGAAATCTCGGCTGGGTTTGGATACTCTTAAGCACGGTGATGGGTTTCTGCGCGTGGCAGACACGCGGCCGACGACAACAACAACAACAAAATTGCAGACCATCACAATCTGTTACTCCGGGCGACCGTGTTACAAGGAGCTTTGGTGTAGTGCGGTTCCGCTTATGACGTGGGTGGGATCGTGGTGGTCCCAATCCCGGCTCCAACCGGTCCCGCTCTGTGTGTTGGGTGCACGGGTGGGATTCACCACCGTCACCGCGCAAGTGACATCTGCAGCGGTTATCCATCCTCACTCCCTCTCCACCCTCACCGCTAATCTCCTCTCTGCACACTGACTTACTCGCTCTCCCGACCCTCCCTCTTGTCACCCCGCCCCCCCGCCCCCCTCCCCGCCCCCCTCCCCCCCCCTCCCCCCCGCCCACCCGCCCACCCTCCCCCCCCGCCCTCCCACCCTCCCCCCCGCCCTCCCCCCCACCCTCCCCGCCCACCCTCCCTCCCTCCCTCCCCCCCCCCCCTCCCCCCCCCTCTCTCTCCCCCCCCCTCTCCCCTCCCCCCCTCCCCTCTCTCCCCCCCCTCCCCCCCCTCCCCTCTCTCCCCCCCCCTCTCCCTCCCCCCCCTCTCCCCTCCCCCCCTCCCCCCTCTCTCCCCCTCCCCCCCCTCCCTCCCCCCCCCCCTCCCCCCCCCTCTCCCCCCACCCCTCCCCCCCACCCCTCCCCCCACCCCTCCCCCCCCTCTCCCCCCACCCCTCCCCCCCCTCTCTCCCCCCACCCCTACCCCCCCCCTCCCCCCCCTCTCCCCCCCACCCCTCCCCCCCCCTCTCTCCCCCCCCTCCCCTCCCCCCCCCCCTCCCCCCCCTCTCTTACCGGCAGCCCATGAAGACATGGTTGACCCACACCATGGAGAGTGACAGGAGACGGTCCAGGCCTGTGCTGGCGGCCGCCGGGCCTGGTTGGCTTCTGCTGATGTTAAAGTCCTCCATGTTGCGGAGGATGAACTGCCGCCGCAGCCTCCACTGCTTCTCGGTCTCGTGGTGGCTCCTCAGCCCCTCGGCCCAGGCCGCCAGGCCCTGGTTCTGCTGCAGGAACTCGCACACCGTCTCGTCGTCCTCCTCCACAGGCGCCGCCATGATCCGCTCCCACCCCACACAGCGCCCCCCTCCCGCGGCCCAGTCAGGTACTGCACACAGCGCCCCCCGCGGCCCAGTCAGGTACTGCACACAGCGCCCCCCGCGGCCCAGTCAGGTACTGCACACAGCGCCCCCCCCCCCGCGGCCCAGTCAGGTACTGCACACAGCGCCCCCCCGCGGTCCTTTCAGGTACTGCACACAGCGCCCCCCGCGGCCCATTCAGGTACTGCACACAGCGCCGCCCCACGGACCAATTCGGGACAACAACAACAAATGCCACTGGTGTGAGGGGCGGGGCCGGCAGTGTCCCTGCTCCGAGCCCCCGCACATTCCTGGCCGCTCCGCGTTGCCCCGGAGACCACAAAACCAGACCATGTCTAACCGGTCCCTTCAGATAACTGGTCACTGAGCCCTTCTCCCTCCGAATCCAGGGCACTGCTGGTGACAGCGCCAGTCCGGCTCACCGGCAGCACCTGGAGGAGCAGACCAGTCACCGGGGGCAGGAAGTCATCCCACGCAGCTCCTGTTGACCCTGCAAGCCCAAGCTCTAAGGGGCAGGGCGGTCCTCGCACCCTCCGCTCCACCACTGGAGGTTGCGCTTTCAGTCACTACGCCCCCAAACTTTGGAACACGCTCCCTCGATCCCTCCACCCTGCCCCCTCTTACCCCTTTTTCAAGTCCCGCCTTAAAACCCGCGCCTACGATCACCTCCATCCCCCCCACCCCAGCTCAGAGTCAGGCTCCGGTTACTGTTTAAGCGCTCTGGGATGCTGCCCTGCGTGGAGGGCACTATATAAGTGCAAGTTGCTGTTGTTGTCAGACAGTGCTCTGAATGGCAAGCTATGCGGGTTTCATTGGTTAGGACTCCAGCAACACCCCAATGCACAGTCTGGGGTCCCCAAGATTTGGCTCTTGCTAAACTGAGCCTAATAATCCATGAATGTTCTCTCTCTACTCTTTCCATTATATTGTGTGTGTCCCTTTAAAAAAGATTAATATGGTCACTCAATCCACGACTGTCGGTGGGACACTGCTGTGCGCAATTGGCTGCCGTGTTTCGCCCGCAAAATATAGTCAATTAACTTTACAGTATATTCTGTAAAGTGCTTTGAGACGTCTCGAAAACATGATAAGCCGCTATTATCAAATGTAAGGATTATCATCATTATAATATTCTTCAGAATTAGGTAAGCAGAGTGTATCTCTCTGTGTTGGGAATGTTGGACAAAGATATAGTCGGACACCATGCAATGAACTGAGGCAGATAAAGTGGGGATGAAGGATTTATAGCCTTTACATCCCCATTTTAACATGAAGTTGAGAATAGACCCTCAGGTCTCTGAGGTTAAATAGCAACGTGACACTGTTTGCTTTAGCGAGAATCCAAAAAAAACTACAAATGCAATTTTTCTTCCAAAAACTTTTTTTTAATCAATCATTGAAACATGTGGAAAAGTGCAGAGACCACAATACTCAATGTGACATTTTATTTGAACACTACAGGAGATCTAAAAGTTAGAATGAAAAGCATAGTCTCAGGATAACCAGTTCAAATAGATCAGATCTGAGCATTTGACCTCAAATATGCATAATACTCTTTCCTCGCAAGAGCAAAAGGCTGGAAAGTTGAATTAAGACCTAAGACAAAGGTACCATCTTTGATAAGACTACTGCTGAAAGAAATACTTGCAACAGCGTAACTCACATTCTTATGGTCATTTAAATGCAATTCAATATGAAAGATAACACCTTTTAAAACAATTTTTCTTTTATTTTCGTGTAGAAAAAAAATTCACAGTGTGAGACTCAAAGATGTGAGTTTTAGTCATTATAACTGGTAAATCAGTAAGATGTGCAACTATATTATATATGTATTGCACCAGTGGTTAGAATGAAGGCAATCAGCACAGAGAGAAAGAAAATTGAAAACTCATTGTAGGAAAAGATAGGCTCAAGGGTAATTTTAGATAATTAGTTTCTTATCTACCAGAGTGATGGCTACCTCGTTTATTATAATGAAATCTGCTTACTTCACAAGTCAACCTAATACAGAAATACAGAAAATGTGCTATTTTTGAAAAGCTACAATTCAATCCTCAAAATAAATCTTTAATGAATAATTACTCAGGTCCTATGATCTAATAAGAGACAAAGAGCAAACAGATGAGTGTTTCAGATTACAGGAGGATTCCCAGTTACAGCCTAACTCTTGCTGGTTTTAATAGTACTGCTTTACCACTTTGAAGAATACAAAGCTCATTTTGAGAAAGGTAGGGCATGAAATAGATTATATGCCAACCTGTTGAACCGCTTATTTTAAATAAAGTAATCTATGAATACATCTTTCAACTGCTCTTTTGAAAACAACCACAAACATCAGAATGCACCAACTGAAGTGTTCACAGGGGAAATAAAACTCTTAAATGCCCAGAACTGAACTATACAGAACCAAACATAAATAAGACTGTAATAAATAAACAGACAGCTTTCAAAGGCATAATTCTAAGCATATCACTCTAAATACTTTTTACATATCAGACATAAACATGCAAGCTGAAACAGCAACCTTCATTTCATTGAGTTCTACATTAAATAGTCACAGAATTTTTCCAGCTTAATGTTGACCTTGTAAGATATTAGAGAAAGAACTTCTAGTAGTCAACTAAATAGAAAATAGAAGTAATGATGACCTTATAATAATGGTTATGTTGATCGGGGCGGAAGAGGGGGAAGAATTTTAATACTTTGTTTTCATGCACCATCTTCACACAAACATAGGGTCAACTGAAACATCTTTGCAAATCACAAGAGACACAAGTAGCCTTCACACAACATTCAAATTCCTGCTTTGGATTCTGCCGAACTGGAACTGGCTACTACTTTGGACAAAAGTCAGAAATCAAAAGTCCAGTTCCTTTGTTTTTCCGAAAATACCTCAGGTTAAGTCACCAGTTGTATGGAGGAGCAGAAATGATTACTTTGCTGTTAGATCCTTTTCAAGCTTTCTTTTCTTTCATTAATTTACACATTCAAAGTGCGTGCTTAACTGTGAAAAAAAATTAACTCTCAAACTTTTACATATCTATAAATTGTAGAAACACCAGAGCTTCTTAAAAATATAATACACCATACCAAATATTATTCTAATATAATATATACAGGGTACCGAGCCCCCTCACCTTTTCTGAAAAAATGCTGCAATTTGCACATTCTTACATTGGAATATGGCATTCTTATATCTTTTCATCTCTGATGTCACAAGACCAATTTTTCCTTACAAACCACCCCTTGTGATCTGTTCACCTCATGTAAAACATTGTTCCTTTCAGTCCACTCAACCTGTTTGCTTTAAACTTTTTTTAAAAAATAAAGTGGATGTGTAAAAATATTTTCTTTTTATATATATTGTGCAAAAATACATGGATGATGAGAGGATGGATTACTGTAGTAAAGTATACATTACATCAGAGAATTTAGGTTTGTCTGTGGACGAGTGGCACTGATTAAATGTGCCTTCAGTCCACTTGGCATGTTTGTAATGTATATCTGGCCATTCGTTATTCTACATACAATTTCACTATGGTTTACTACTGTTTACAAAAACGTTTTAACATATTTGTTGAAAGCATGTTTGCAAGAGTAGGAAAAAATATCATTGGTGTAATTGGAAAATATATATGTATTCTGTAGGGATCCAGCAACAGAGTAATAAAATCATCACCCCACATTTTCTATCACAATTACCACTTCACAGGGACTTTTAATTATCCTTGTTCAATTCACTCAAAACATTTCATTTGCATGAGCTCTTAAACCTCTCCAGTTTTAACCTTTTGCTTAAGATTCTTACAGCAACATTGAAAAAAAACTCAAAACAAGGCTCTGGCATGAAAATATATATTTAGGAAACACTATGAAGAGGAAAAGAATTTATTATTCCATTGGTCTATCTCTCTGATCTACATAACAAAGTGGTATTCCATATTTGCATTATTAATTATTTATTTTAAATGGAGGAGGTTTTATATATTGTTCTAGGGAATTTTAGGAAGGCTCAGATCCTGAATAACCTACTTTGATAAGTCTGCTTCAGAGAATTATTATTTTAAACAAAAATCACATTTTTAAACAGCAGAATATTAATTCTACCCAATGCCAATTAAGACCTAAATCTCTCTCAACAATAATCAGTACTGGAAATTTACACAAAACACGTCCTTCATATATCAGGGACTATCATATGCGAATCACTGACAATGGCAATCTTTTCATTACATTTTTATAATGGGAAATGCCTTTACATAAATGATATACCAAAAAGGTTGCTAGTGTTAGCATTCAGCGTGTGGTAGAACCTATCATTCAATAGATAAAAGCAAAAAGCAGTACAAAAAGAGTCAACTGAATGTTTTCCCCTTTGTAAAACGAACAGGAGCACACATGATTTATTTTATGGGTAGTAATGAAGGGTGAGGTGGGCTGGGGGTAAAATATCTCGCTGCCCACATCAGAACACCATTGAAAGGCATCAGTGGCGCTGTGGCCAATACTTTTGCACTCCATACAGAAAGGAGTTACAGATTCAACACCCATAAATTCACTCCATCCTTTCATAATATGAGAATAAGAGCAATAGAAAAGAAAAGTGGGGGAGCAGGAGAGATGTGAATCAATGCAAGCGCCAGTCTTAAGAAGCAGAGCTGAGGAGCACGCTTGCTGAAAGGAACCAAAGCCACAACTTCACACTCTTATACAAAAATATTACGTGGCTCACAGCCATCCTCACAGTCTGATCTTATGAAAACATTGACAAGAATAAAATATCTCCTGTTGAACGGGGAATTTCTTTTCTTTAAAATGCAGTGCTGTTCAACAGAATACATTTTCTGAACTACCACCATTCCTGTACCCCATCTTTACAAAATAAAAGCAAATCAAAAATACATACAAACTGTACAAAAGTAGCAGAAACTGGTTCCGAATTACACTACTTTGGTTTTTCTCTGTTTAAAAACCATTTTTTACATATAGAGAGGTATTGAAATACAATTATTTTACAAATATGTTATATCTAAACCACCAGAATGCTTTAAAAAGATTTTAACCAGTTAACTATCAAAATGATGAAAAATACTTTGTAATCTACATAATAAAAGATATTAGACATCATCAGCAGGAAGCGAAGGGATGCTGATCTTTGCTCTGGTGAAAAACGCCATCTTCTCCCTGTAATTGGAAGAAAAAATATTTGTTTCACTTTTGCTTAGTTTTATTTTCAAAGTTCATAACGCAAAGTCTGAGTTGCAGGCAAGCTGTATAAATCATAGAAAATCTGATTTGATCACTAATCTACACTGCGCATACTTAATTCAATGCAGGTGGTAAGTGCACATGTGGTAGTCTGTTACTACAGCTGATAAGTGCACATGTGGTGATGGGTCAAGACTATGTTTCCCACGATTCAATGATTCTTGGCACATTGCCGCATGTGCACTTACCAGCAAGCACTGAATCACGGAATATGAAGTGCTTCTGCGCAAGCAGCGACAAATCTACATTTCCTGCAATTCAATGCAGCCAGCTAGTAAGTGTGCATGCGTCGACGGGTTAGGGCATCATTTCCCGCGATTCAATGTAGCCGATAAGTGCGGATGTAATGGAGGATAGGGGAGCTGCGTTACGAGTTAGGAGATGATTAATACGAGAAGTGCAAATAAATCTAAGTGGTTTTGATAGGAAACTGATGGGATTCGAGTGAATGTACGACTTAGGTGATTATATGATTTAGAAAGATAAGACTTGTGCGAGTTTTACCGTATATCATTTGCCACATGGAACAGGAGCTATCCCGAACCAGAAAGTAAAATGGCAGAAAATCAAGAAGAATGTTAGCCCGTTGTTTGAGCTTTTATTTTGACCATCGCTGCCACAGTCTCATCAGGAACTCTAAACCCTTTTCCATGTTAACAATATTTCCTGACCTGAATGATTGGACTTGCAGTGGCACCTTCTGGCTCTGCTCCCGCAATCTGCACACCTCCTTTGAGGCTTTCTTCATCAGCTTCTCTGCCTTCCACTCTTGCTTTTGTTCTTCTTTTGTTTGCTCGGCCTGGGTGCAAGATATTATTCACTGTGCTTTAAAGATAATCGCTCAAATACATGCACCATGCATGTCATGTCTGTCAACCCTTAACTGTTCAATACAGTTTCCCCAATCTGAAGTCAGGTTAGTTATTTCACAGCAGAAAATAAGAATACTCAATTTTAACTGTCGAAGAGCATATGGAGATGTCATCTTGATTGATATTGAGCAAAATCCGATTTAAAAAAAAAGACATTTTTGTCTCAAGCTCCAGACTTTCATTCACATGGTATAGTGAGCAAGAGAGCTGCACATAAGATGTGGGAGTGCATTGCCACCATTCTCCAGATTACAACCAGGACACACACAAACACACACTATTAACTATTTGAATAGTGACTTCACCAGTTGGAGGTGCAAAAGAGAAGGGAGTTTCCCAACAATCTTTCCCCTGCCCCATCAGATAATATTGGTCATCACTTCATGGTTGTTTGTAAGGCATTGCTGTGTGCAAATTAGCTGTGTTCGGTTCGCCTATAAATAGTCTCCACACTTTACAGTAAAAGTATAGAGACTGTACTTTATAAACCATGAAGCACTTTGAAATAATTCGATGACATGATAAGATTCTATATCAAATACAAATATTACTATTAAGGTGGAGGAAAGAAAACACAGACTAGAAGTTCCAACAGTACATTTTCTTTGCCTGAATATATCCATATCGATACCTGCTTTTCTGCTTGTTTCAGAAGCTTCTGGAATCTGTCATCTTCCAACACCCAAGAGGGTAGTTCTGTCTCTCCTTTAGCTTTCACCTCCTCGAGCCTGTTTTTCAGTTCCCTGAGCACATGGAGCTCATCATTCAGCCGACTTTGCCGAGTTAGTGATGCCTGGAGATCCAGCTCCAAGTCAAGAGAGGTGCGGAGAGGATGTTCTGGAGTTGCCCGTCTCACAAGTGGTTGGCAAAGGGCCTGTACACAACATCAGTAGAAAATGACAGGAATAAACAACAACAAAAAAATGCATTTAAATAGCGTCTTTCATGTCAGGAGTATGTTCCAAGGCTCTGAACAGTGAAGGGTTTGCACCCAAGCTGGAGGTTTGAGGCAAGATGGGTGGAGGGCAATGAAATATTTTACAAGGTTAAAAAACTGAAGGATTTCAAACAACTTCACAACTCCAGAGGGCTGAAATTCTCTTTTATTTTTTAAAAAAAGTGCAGAAAGCTAGGTTCCAAATTTAGCCTGATTTTAATAATTTTCCAAAATTCTGCATTACTTTGAAATTTACCATGATGGTATTAAGCCTAAGACAAGGAGAAATTTCAGTCCTCGAATACTCCAATTTATTGTTCAAGTAAGTTATGCGGCCTCTCCAGCTCTTCCCGTTGCTAGATCTTCATCGGGTTCATTGATCCCGAATCATTGCTGCTTCCCTCCCACACTGAATTTAAAGTCTATTCTCTATACCCACCAAAGTTACAACAAAACAACTTGGATATATATAGCGCCCTCCACGCCGAACGGCATCTCAGAGCGTTTCACAGTAATGGATCCCGGGGCCGAACCAGGGGGAGCGGGAGGAAGGTGACCAAAGGTGCAATCAAAAAGAAAGGTCTTCAGCCGAGAACTGAAAATAGGAAGAGAGGGGGGCGAGGCGAAGGGAGTGAGGAAGGGAGTTAGAGAGCCTCGGGGCGTAGTGGCTGAAGGCACGGCCGCCGATGGTGGAGCAGAGGATTCGGGGGACAAGGAGGAGGCCAGACTCGGTGGAGAGAAGGCACCACTGTTGTGAGGAGAGAGGTCAGAGAGATAGGGGGGGGTGCAGAGCAGTGGAGGGATTTGTAGCCAAGAGTGAGGATCTTGAAGTCAATCCTCTCTGGGACAGGCATCCAGTGCAGAATGGCAAGCACTGGTGTTATCGGAGCGGAGTTTGGTGCAGGTAAGAATGCAGGTAGCAGAATTCTGGATGACCTGCATTTTATGGATGGTAGTGGAGGGGAGACCGGTGAGGAGGGCGTTAGAGGCTTTCCATTAATAGAAGTAGTCTTTCCATTTCCTTCTTGTGTGTTTGGCCTCAATCAGCATTTATTACAATGAAGGCCAATAAGTGTGAAATGACGTTTAAAAATTTAGATTTCCCCTATTTAGCTGGTAATCCTATTCCTTGATTTTCCTTTATGTTGACACATAACATACCTCTACACTCATCTTATTCATTGTTTTCATAATTTCAAAACTCTTGGCTCATCCCTGTTCTCTTCTCCTGGGAGGAATGACAGACCTCCGTTAGGTCTGTCTTCATTGCTCAAAGATGCAAAATTTGAAACTCCCTTTTTTGTTTTCATGGAATTTTTTTCTACTGCCTCCTTCCTGCCTCTTTATTAGGGCAGTGACCAAAAGTGGACATAAAACTACTTTCAAATCTCTGTCTCTGTCTCAATAATGCTTTATAGATCTTTTGTATCACTCTTAGAGGAGTGAAAAATACAACATACAAAATGATGATTATCATTCAAACTGAAATTAAGAGTCAATCAGTACATAATTATCAACCGACCATGTGTGTCAAACCCACACCTGGTTCAGCACAATGGCTGGTCCTAAACCCTCCAGCCTCATATTTATGTCAATTGAATCTCTTTCCACGGGGTTAATATCAGCTTAATGCTAAACATTATGGGACCTAATATTACATTGGTTGGCAGATTTATCGAATGTAGTAGTCTGCATTCATTACACATAGGTAGAATTATACTTTAGTTACTGTATTTCTATCCATAATTTACTTTTATCCTTTCATTATTGCCCACACTGCACATGTAGAATTGTGGGCTGTGAAATGCAAGGATGTCACCAAAACAACATGGTGTTGTTTTGATGTTCCTTTCCTTCCCGATTCTCCCTCATTCCTCTGTTTCTACTTTTCACTTGGCACATTTGGCTGAGTCAGAGAGGGGAAACCACTCAAGTTCCAATGGGATTTTCATTATAAATACTTAGTAAGAAAATGAACAATTTTTATCACTTATAACAATTTTTTATAGTTTGTAATGAGATATCCCATTCTAAAGACACAATGAAAAGATGGCCAGTGTTGGCATTGAAGCTTGCTCAGCAAACACAACATAAGATGGTTCTCTTCTGCAGATGATTCCCTTCTGATGAACCTGGAATGTGCACATTCTCCTAGTAATTTGTAATACGCACCCTTTTAACTCGTAAACTTCGCCGTTCTGTGGCATTGCGCACAAAAGGAGACTTTTTGGCTAAAGTTGAACTGTCACTGTCACTTCGATTCAACTGTCGATACAGAAAAGGAACAAGTGGAAGCAGAAATGAAAAAACAGCTTACAGTTTTGATCCAAATATACAAAAAAACTGATCTAAAAATCAAAAATATTTATCAGATAGTTTATTTTCTTTTGTAACATACACGTGTGTGAGTCACCTCCAATAAGATGAAGAAGAATTTCTTACCCTACAAATGTACTGATTTCGTTCTCCTGGAGAAAAGGTTTGTGATCTTACAATCATGCTGTTCCTCACAAAACTCCTTTGCCTGCTGTTCAGGTTGGTTCTGTCCTTCGGCCTGACAGCCACACACTCTGGCACTGTTTCCTCTGTGTTCATTTCCTTGTCCACCTGCAGACATGGTGTGTGACACTTTAATCAGCTACTATTCAATGGGAACAAAAGGGACAGCTGGAAGAGCTTAGTAAAAGAGTAATGTCCCATTTACACTGGGACTTTCCTTCAGCATTGCATTGAAATAAAATAGAGCGCTGAGGCTTCTATGGATTTGTCCCATTTAAAGAATTACAGAAATTTACAACACAGAAGGAGGTCATTGGAGCCTGTTCTGGCTCTCCAAAAGAACCATCTATTAAAGCTCATTCTCCTGCCATTTTCCCCCACTCCCTTTTATACTTCTCCTTTACAGATATTTATTATTAGATATTTATCTAAATCTCTCTTAAAGGCTAATGTGGATTCTGTAGAGAAGAAATTTTGCAGTGCAGGATGACCTCTAAAGCAACATGGGAACAAGTTCACACATACAGAGTTAATTTCCAAGTTGGAAATCACATTATTTTCTTGCCTGGTTTATACATGACAATAATATGTAAAATGCTGAATGGATATATTGGTCGTCAGAACTGAGAGGCAGAGAGGATGCCCATTTCTGGGTGCAGTCCTGGCTGCCAAAGGCCACCTCATTTATACTCTGGTTCTACCTGCAGTCATCATGTTGAAATATAAACATGGCACGAGGAAGTCCACCTACCATTCTGTAAAATCCTAAACTTAAGGGGCCAATGAAAACCAACTCTAAGATAGCACTAATCCAGAAACTGCAACAAAGCAATAACACAGGAGACAGATATAGATCTGAAGAGCATAGAAACATAAAAGACCATTGCAATTCATACGGTCAATCTCAAACCCTTTGATGTGGGTTACTTTCAGCCCAATGTTCATGTTTCCAATAATTAGCATCAACTACAACAACAAATTACACTTGTATAGTGCCTGTCACATTGGAAAGACGCCCCAGGGCGCTAGTTTATACAGTGAGAAATGAATACACTAGTGAACATGTACATTATATACTGTCGCAAGAACTCCCAGTACCTGTGCTCCCTTCTACTGAAAGTCCTGATCTTTTATTACAGATACTAGATGAGTAAAAACTAAACATTCCTACCAGAGTTGGCAACACTGCATGAGTCTCTGCAACATCACTCCTCACTTCCTCAATCACATTTCTGGTTGCCTCTTGAAGTACAGTCAGTTCTGTAGTATATTGTTCCTCTTCTTCTGCCTCTTTGCCATGTTCATCTCCTTCTTCCAATGTCTCAGCATTGTCTTCCACCAGCATTTCCAACCTGCAATTGGCAATGCATCAAACACATCACAAAGCTCTTATAGATATCGGCTGCAGCTTATACAATGAAAACTGAATGCGCTGTTTAACATGAATAATGTCATAAGGGCTCCCAGTACCAGTCTTCGCCTTCTGTAGTGTCTCCTTCCTCTGTAGCCAGTTCCTGTTCTACTGCCTGCAGTTCAGCAGATGTCCTCTCCAAGAGTTCAGATACAGCATCCTGTTGGGAACACAAAGGAGAAAAGGGCTGACGCTAAGCAAACTGAGACAAAATACAGAGATGACTTTTTCCCCAATATAGTACTCAGTATTTGATCTGGTAGTTTGCTAAGAAGCTTCCGAGCTTCGCTTTATAATGGTGGGCTTTGAATGTTTCACTTTAAGCTTAAACACTTATCTAACTGTCTTTCATCAACCTTCCCCCATCAGCCAGCAGTAAAAGACACATTTTTTTTAATAAGCTTGTATTATAGTTATCTGTAAGACAAGCTCTAAATTTCACTCTCTTAATTTGTGCCATTCCATTTCTGCCATCTGCAATCTCTACATTCAGCTCAGCAACTATTAGCCAGTCCACACCCTGTGCTCAGCAGGCTCCAACCTGCTCCAGGACTCCCACCCGATCTGCCCTACCATCGGCGGCCAGGTTTTCAGCCTCTTTGCCCCCACTCTTTGGAACTCCATCCCACAATCCCGTCGCCTTGCTCCCACCCTTGCCTCCTTCAAAGCACGACTCAAGATCCTCCTTTTTGACCATGCCTTCAGCTGCCCTCCTACTCACTCTGCCCTCCCTCATCCCAACCCTGTCCCCCCATTCTAATCCCTGACTGTTCAGTGCCTTGGGACGTCCTACTGACGTGAAAGACGCTTTACAAATGTAATTTTGTTGTTGTTGTTGCAACAGGTTATCACCAAGACCAACAATCGTTACCTTATCTGAGTCACTGCAAGGCTGAGGTATGACTGAGGATTCCTCACTTTGCTCTCTGTTATTTGGGTTCTGAATGTTCAGGTTTTTGAAATGAAGCATATTGTACCAGCTAGTGGAGGTCTCGTCATAGCAAGAGACTTCTGCCAGACTAATTTGGGTTCCAGCCTTTAAAGAAGATAAGGAAATCAAAGCAATTTTTCTGACTGCACGAAATAGCAAACAACATTATATGTTCAATAATTTCAGTAAAATTCAAAAGTGTGCGAGTTTTTTGGGGAAAAGAGTGATGACACAGACCAAGTGAATCCAAACGCCCAGCACTTGCTATTGTCGTGTTCCCAAACAATTTATTAGTCTACCTCAATCAAAGTTACTATCAACCAAGCCCAAATTCTTTACATTTACCATTTGGTTGAGATTCTTCATAACACTTTACAGACCAGTGAAAAGCTAGGAGTTTGCTCTTGCCCTATAATCTCATGTTCTACGATTGCAGTTTTGAACATAGGACAACAGAAGGAGGCTATTCAGTCCATCAAGCCGGTTCCATCAGTTCAGTAGATCTTGCCAGATCTTTTAATCCTAATGTCCCACCCTTTCACCATATCCCTTAATACCAAGTATCCAAATATCTATCTCACTTTTCAACATCACTATTGATTCCACCTCTACAGCTTTCTGAGACAGAGCGTTCTACATCTTCACAAGCCTCTGTGTTAACAGATGCTTCCTGATCTCAGTTTTAACTATCTTTATTCTGATTTCATGGCTATGCCCTCTTGTAATGGATCCCTCCACCAAAGGGAAGAGTCGTTCACTATGTAATCTGTCAATTTGTTTTATTACTTTATATACCTCAATCAAATCACTTCTTAACCTCCTCTACTCTAAGGAATATAACCCAGTCTACCCAGGGTCTCATCATAGCTAAGAGTTCAACAACAGAAAGACACATCAGCAGTCATTTGGTAACTGTTACTTAATAAAAGGGATGTAAAGCCTCTATGCTCCCAATCTCTTGAACTCCCTGCTTCAATCCCTCTTTCTTGCCCCCTCCTCGCCCATCTTCAAATCACACTTGAAAAATTTCCTTTTCGATCATGCCTTTGGTCACCTCCCCTCTCTCTCCAGTTTTGTATCAAACCACACTTATGTTAAGTGCTCCAAGATGCTACTCGTATGAAGGGCACTATATAAATGTGTTATTGTTGTAAAGCTCCATTGTCACTCACCAGGCAATCCTCTGTCTGTGACTTCCCCACAGAGCAGACATCAACTCGTAATGTCTTTTGACGCAAAGCAGTTTGGGCGATGGCTACCCTGAATATCTCGCTGAAGACAAGACTCTCTGCAACACTTTGAACTTTTGTGCGGAACAGGCTGCTGGAGTTGCATGAACTTGGCAGCAGTGCAGCCCTGATATACCTGCAGGATCAAAAGACAAACTTTTATATAAGAACAATTGGCCAGCGAATTAGACCATTATGCCGGTCCCGACATTTAATAGCTATTTTTGACGCCAGCTTTTTTCAGTGAATAAGCTATCTTCTGCTCGTGAGATTCAAACTGCTATCCCTGGCCACTGATCGACAGTAAGCAGAGTGAGGCAGGGGAACCCACTAGGAAAGGTGGGTGGGTCAGAGTCTACACACGGACGCACAGAATTTAAAATATATTCTCTCAGTTTGGTTAGGTTTGAATTCTAGATACCTGGAGTCCAATAAGCCAGGGATTTACTGTTTTGTTACTTGCAACTAGTGGAACTATTGCTCAATGGTTAAGGAATCCTAGCCAGGAGAATGGTTACACTGCTCTCACACATTTCATAGTGAGTTGTATTGTTTATCAGAAAGTTGCCTAAATTTCCACGCTGAGGTTAGTGGTTTACTTCTTGATGGTGGTCCCTACAATTACTTGCTTAATGATTTGAGGAATACAAATTGTTTGAAAGTCACTTGCAAGGCATCCAGCAACCTTTTAAATAGGATGTAATGAACAAGAAAATGTATTCAAAATAACCACAGAAAATTTGTCCTATACGTCACCACATGGCCTGCTACAAATATTATTTTTTCACATTTAAAGAGAGAACCTAGTGTTGTGGGTGGTGGTGGAGGGAATTAGGGGAATGTCTGAACTGATTGAAGTCCCTTTCATCTCCTTTCATTGCTCGGTGTGGTGTATCCCTTTAAATGCGGATCTTGTAGGTCTCAGGAAAAAATACTTACACTTTAGAGCCATCTGGCACCAACAGGACAGTGGGATTCCGAAGCTGCATGACGATTATAATAAAATTTGCATTGATGGTATCGTACCTGTGATAAACAAAGTAAAGTTAAAACTTCCAATACAGAAACATGGCGCAACAACATATTCAACCATCGAGATTCTTTTCTCCAGGTCTCCTTTCAGTGCTTCTCGCCTTGCAAGCGAGACATCTGGGTTCAATTCCAGGCAGGCGAAACCTTGGGCAAGTTTCCTTACTCCACATGCCTAATAATAATCCGTCCAAAACAAAACAATAATAAATTGTTCATTTTCAATCCATGACTGTTTGTGGGACACTGCTGTGTGCAATTGGCTGCCGCATTTCGCCCACAAATATACAGTCAATTCACTTTACAGCATACTCTGTGAAGCGCTTTGAGACATCTAGAAGACATGAAAAGCGCTATATCAAATGCAAGGATTATTATTATTATTATTCTCATAGGACATCATGGATATTATCTACCCTTGAGTGTCCATTCATCATGTGATACTAGATAATGAGTGTCAGCAGATTATTTGTTTGTAATGGTAAGATTAATAATAATAAAATAATCCTTGCATTTGATACAATGCCTTATCACTTTGTTGAGAGGTCTCAAAGCGCTTCACAGGTTATACTGCAAAGTGGATGGACTACCTATTTTGTCCTGCAAACAGCAATGGAGTGGGTGACCCATTTTATTCTGAGGATTGTTGGCCAGAACACAGAGAGAATCTCTCTTCTATTTTTGAATAGACCCATGGGATTTTTAACATCCACCTGAACAGGCAGAGTGGACCTCGGTTTAACATCTCATCCAAAAGACAGCACCTCCGAAAATCTAACATTCCATGCATTGCATTGGAGTGTCACCTTAGACTATGTGAGTTCAAGTCCCAATGTGGGATTTGAACCCACAACCTTCTGACTCAGAGGCAAGAGTCATACCACTGAGCCAAGCTGACACACAGGATTGATGATGTTGGCTCAGAGCGTTGAGAATATATCTCCTAGACTCATTATGGACAACCCTGAAGTCAGCAATAATCTGACTGAGACTCTGCTTACCTCACCCCTCAGGAGAATACTTTAAAAAAATGTATTCATTTTATTGGCTCCAAAAGAGTGACGGGTTGAATGAACCAATTCCAAAGCTACAACCTTCTGGTTCCTTGTTAATTTCCCCCCTCAATAGCACAGACTTACTGAGGTGAATTGCAGCACCAGCTAACTCAGCACAGATTGGAGCAATCAAATCTTTGGTCTTCTCATTCTTATGGCATAATGAATGCACCAGGCAATATTTTTACCAGCCAGGCCATCAGGGAGACAACCGTGCAATTTATGATTCATCATTTTGCATGTTTGTCACATTTGCTGAATTTCAGTGGAGTGTGATTATTTATTATCAGCCCCAATATGATATAATGTGTAGAGAAAAGAATAAATCACTGTATTTCTGGAAGTAATATCACTTGCTCCCAGCAGGCAGCAATAAATAAGGGCTACTATTACCACGTCAAATGTTTTCAGATCCCCAGAAAGCATGTTCAAGTTGTATAGTACTCTGGTCAGGATGCACCTGGCATACTGTTTACCATTTGGTTGCCATTACAACAACAAATAACAACAAACTGCACTTATATAGTTCCTTAGGGGACATCCCAAAACTTTGGGGGGCGAAGGTATGCCTAACACAGGGTGTCGCCCAAATACTCAAAGCTGTAGAGGGGAGACCAACAAGGTTAGTATTCGAGGAATGAGCTTGAACACTGGATAGACAAGCTTTGAAGGAGACGTCTCAGATTTTATACAGATACACTGTATTTTAAATGGGATTATGAAAGTAAATCCAGAATAATACTTTCAGATATGCCAAGATAGCAGAACTAAAGGGAACAGATTCAGGGTTGTAAAGGGCAATGTATGGACAGACACTGTGTAGAATTTCATTACACAGAAGGGAATTAACAATTGGAACAGTTTACAAGAAGAATAGGTGAGACCAGTATGCTGTACTCATTCAAGAAACAGTTTGATGTTATGATGGGAATATGGTAGATCGGGGATTTTGGAAGGATGATCTTAAAATGGACCGAAGGGCCTTATTCACCTGAAGCTCTCTCAACCACTTACTTCAGTCCTATTTGGATTTGAGCTGCATCTGAAGTGTTGAGATCATCGTCATCGTAAACCGCATCTTCAGCTTCATTTGACCTAATTATGAAAATGTTTCTAAGTAATAAATTATTGCAGTGTGCAAGTCATTCTCTGCAGTGTTGGTTTTGGATAAAGTGCACACACACACACACACACACACACATACATGTTTTGCTGTATTACTCATTTTGCCATATTTGCAATAGGTATCAAAACAGATGACAGTACGATTTGTAATCATGCAGATTTACACAATTAGTTGTGTAATTCTGATAATTAACCCATAACATGGTTGAAATCTAAAATTTAAAGCTGTAAGGTTCCTAGGGTAAAAGCAATCACAATGGCTCAGTGGATTCAGGGTGGTCCAATTGGCAGGCCACATCCTATCAGGGGATAATTTAATTCGGCCCGCAAATCATTTCCAAACTCTCTCCCTTCCCGGTGATCCGTCCTCGCATTCCAGCAGCTCAATGCTTGGGAATGGAAATAAAGCCCCCTGTTGCTGCAGTCTGTCAGTCAGCCCCTCTCGAGCTGAGGGAAGGCAAACAGATCTCCTGACCCACCCTGTCCTCCCGGCCGCCAGCTCCTGCTGCTGCCTAATAGTGTGCCACCCAGGCGCATGGCTGGGAGAGCGGCCGTTCCCGCTGTCCAGAAAATGAGCCACGCGCCTGATTGAAAGAGAGAGGAGGGGAGACAGAGAGTGATTGAGTGAGGAGGATTGGGTAGAGACAGAGAGAGAGAGAGAGAGTCTGTGTGATCATTTGTGAGAGAGGGGAGAGAGGTTGTGAGAAAGAATAATTGAGAGTGAGAGTGTGGAGACTGTTTGTGTGAAAGAGGGGAGAGAGTGAATGATCAATAGAGAGGGGGGAGGGTGATAGAGAGTGTGAGATAGAGTAGGAAGAGGGAGGGAGGGAGGGAGGGGAGAAGTGAGGGCAGTGTTTTGTGGTTCTCTGTCAGGACAGATGATCGGAATCTCCCTCGGCCACCGCAGGGGTGGACTAAGTACAGACACTGAATGAGGTGCCGTGTAGTTTCTTCACAGAAAGCTCCCTCTTTCCCCATTGAGAAGCCTTCATCCCCCACCCCATCCTACCTCTGAGACCTTCTGATCCAGTTGTTCCATTTGCCCAGCAAACACTGGCTTGCATCATGTCCCCACGCTCTCACCATCACCATTTCACCCCCTCTATCTGGAGTTCCATTCCCCAAGTTCCTCCGACTCACTTGCTCCCTCCCTTCCTTCTTTCAAGACACATCAGGACTTAACTCTGACTGCGCTTTCGATTACCTTTTCCATCCCACCTCCCTCGGCTCCCACCTCCCTCGGCTCCCACCCCCAGCTCGGGTGACCAGGCGGCAGTCTCAAATCCGGCATCCGGTCCTCAGCAGCCAGAAAAGTTGGACCACCCTGCATTATAATACGATACTGAGTAATAAAAACCAGGAAGGTCAGAGGTTCATGCTGAGCTCTGCAAGAGCAGATTTATGCAACAGCAGTGAGCAAGGAAGAAGGCAGCAGATGGCGGAAGGGAGAATTGTACTGTAAAATATATGAATAAGGCAAACAAGAATGTGTTTCCTGAGCCTTTTCTGGAATATTTCTTTAGCAAGAGCTATGTGACATTTGATATCCAGGGCTATAATTGGCGCACTATCTTACTGCACTCTTTAACTGTTGTGATATGCACAACAAATTGCACATACCGTTTGACAGAAGCCTCATAAACTCCACTGTCTCCAGCGACGGATTCATCAGAAACGGCAGCAGACACACACGTGGTTTTCTCTTCAAGTAGATGACCCACCGGTCCTCCTTGTAGATCGACAGCTGTACAAATGCAGAGCACGCAGACCCCATCAACTTGACCTGAAGCAGCACACAGTTTTCTAATCCCTACAGACACAGCATGGTTTACCATTCCTCAAACCACCTCCCACCTCTTCAACCGTGCCTTTGGTCACTTCCTTCCCACCTTCTGTGCAGCAGAAGCTGGGATGTTTAGATTTGAAGATATTGGTTATATCCCTTTGGTCAAGGGATGTTTTCCTCATAGATTTTTGAAGGAAGGGAGATAGTTAATGAGGCAATGTAGTTTTGGAAGTGATTTTCAGGGGACATGGCATGGTGGTTAAGTCTCAGCCACTGATGATGGAGGAATGGGAGTAAGAAAACATCAATAAACTAGAGGTGGAAGAGAATAGCTTATAGGCTGGAAAGGATTGTACAGGTGTGGTTCAGTGTGGAGTAATTTGAAGCCAAGGATCTTAACTGTAATCCTCTGAGGTACCAACTCAGCTTGGTTGAGTATGTGGGTATAACAACAACTTGCATTTATATAGCACCCTTCACACAGTTAGCATCTATGAGAGTTTAATAGTAGCGTGGCTTGATGCTGAGCCAGAAAAGGGAGAGGTGATCAAAGGCACAATCAAAGAGGAAAGTCTTCAGGTGTGATTTGAGGATAGGCAAAAAGAGGGAAAGATGGGAGGGATTAAGTCAGGGAATTCCAACAATTTGGGGCTTAGTGGCCGGCAATGTGAAGTATAGGAGACGAGAGATGTGCAGCAAACCAATGACAGCTGAGCGAAGGCCGTGGGAATAGGAGGGGGTGTCACAAGATCGAAGTGGCAGCAGGGTGCTAGGGCATGAATAGGTTTGTAAGTGAGAGCGAGGATCGTGAAATTAATCCGTTCTGCAACAGGAAGCTAGTGATTCATGGCAAGGATTGGGGTGTCAGCGGTGTGGAGCCTTGTGAGGGAAAGAAGTTGGGCTGTAGAGATCTGGACCAGATAAAGTTTTGGAGAGTGCAGCTATGGAGAACAGTGAAAAGAGTATTCTAAAAGCATATCCTCAAGGTGACAAAGGCAAAATAATGATTTCTACAACAGTAAGATGTTATAGGGGTAAGTGAGCAATGTTTCAGAGGGGGAAGAATGGACTAGATGTGGGGTTTGAAGTTCAACTCAGGGTCAAGCTGAAAAAGAGTTTTGTCCTATTCATAGGAAAACAAACTAGTCACAAAGCACTAATCTGGGATTCTACCCTGCGTGAGGGGTGCTATGGTAATCCAAATTGTTGTTGTAATCATCTGTTATTGTAATCATCTGTTGGGGAAAACAAATTGCTCTTGTGCACTGCTGTCAGTGGCCAAGTGGGGGCACTGCAACTTTGATTTTTAATATTCTGACAATTAGAAATGTAATATATAATGATGGGCATATTTGTGCTTTTCTCCTCTTTAAAAAAAATGACACTGTTGGGAAAAAGGAATAGTTCGATACATTAATACTCTTCTCAACTTCGCTTCTTCGGTTACCACAGAACCAAAGAAATTTACTGCACAGGAGAAGGCCGTTCGTCCCATCGCTTCTGTGCTGGTTCTTTTAAGAGCAATCCTTTCAGTTAAGTAACAAGTTGTAGTTCAGGTTAGTAACAAGCTGTAGTTCAGGTTAGTAACAAGCTGTAGTTGGTTCTCATGGATTGTCCTGGTCTTGTGACACAATAAGAGATTGATCAGCTCAAACATGGCTAAAGCGATCAACGTTGAAGCTTTTGATTCTGGTAATGCATATATTAGTGCCAGAATAATCATAATCAGGATTATTAAAAGGAATATTTGCGCCAAACCAATTCTAAAAACACACAAGTTAAAGAATGTGAAAATACTTTCTATTAAATGGAAATGGCTTTTTTTTGAAGAATGTGTTTCATGGTTGACTTGTGTTTCATAGATGACTAATTTGAACATGAACTGCAATGTCAGACAGTGAGTAGCTTTCACTGAGCAACACTGGAATTAACTCAAATTTAGCTGAATTACATTTATTTGGGAAGATCAGCGTTTTTGTCAATAATAAACTGGGCTTGAAACATTTCTGCTGGTGTGAATGGTCGCATTATTGGACCTTGAAATTAACTTTTGGAGAGGGATCCGCTGGATGTCTGATATACTTAGTAACTGATTGCTATGCTTAAGAGTATGCAAAGCAGATTGACAGTTCCACGCACATATGTCAGATACACATGTAAATTTCCCCCGTGTCTGCAATGCAATGTGTTCTCTTTGGCTGGACTGACCTACCTTGCTTATCTAATTTCAGGACGTTGGTAAGAGCTGAGGCTTGGGGAAGCCAATGTATATCAGGGGATGCTGGCAGACTTGTATCAGCTAAAACCACCCAGCTTCATACTTCTAGTCCAGCTAGGACCACCCTAAGCTCCAGGGCTTCGGCTCTCTCACGTTCCTCTTGCTCCTCTGTTCATCTCCTGTTCATTCTGGTTTTGATGTGTAACTCCCATCCTATCAGTGGCTAGCTTTCATATTCTATACTCTTCTCCTTTGGAACGCTTTCTCTCTGCCTCCCCGTCTCGCCTCTGTCTGTCATCAAATTCCAACTGACCTGCCCTTTGACAGCAACTATGGTCAACCTCCTTGTTGTTGGACCTCATAACTGTGAGGTACTTCAAGATCTTATCCCCTGTGAAGGGCGCTATATAAATGCAAGTTATTGTTGTTGTTGTTATAGGGTTAATAAGAACTGAGCAGGAAAAATGCCTCCTACCAGTGACAGTTTGCTCTCCAAGTCCTGCTGACAAGCCAGGCTGACGCCTGTGATCAACAGTGCCTTGGAGTACTGTGGACCAACCTGGCTAAGGAACCAGACTTCTGAGAACCATTACAGAGGATCAAGCTATCTCAGCTCCAAGGAGATCCCACTTCCCCAAGGAGCACAGAAAATAATCACCTCCTGATGCAAATTCTTGCTTTCAACAGGAAAGTCCCTGCATGTCACTCCTAATCGTGAGAATTCATCTCCAACCCACAATTGCATCAAACCTGAAGATTCATGAGTCTGAGTAATGTGTTCATATATGATATATGTTTATATACGTTCAGGAGGTGAGACTGGGAGAAACTTCCTTCATTTTTGAATAGGCAGATGGGACCTTGGTTGAACACCTAATCCAAAGGACAGCATCTCAGTGAATGCTGCAATCTCCCAGCATTGTACTGGAGTACCAGCCTAGACTGTGAATTCAGCATTTACTGTTATTCTGTAATAATCGCACACTTACTTCTAAGTGATGAAATCTCCTTACCTGCAATGCCTTCACTTAGAGTCGAGAGAGGAACCGCAAGGTCATCATTAAGGCCTTTAACTTCATTCAGGTATTGCCCAGTTCTGTTTGAAATTCCAGATTCAAGGTTCAGGTAAGGTGCTTGAGTCCTGGTAGCTTGGTCAGGCTCGAGCAAGATTTGGTTTTCACTATTGCCATACAATCTGAGACCTGGGAAATCGCGTTGCATTTCACACTCTTCGAAGTCTGCACCGAGGTGATGCAAGGGCGAATCTTGGGCTGATGATAGAAATACTGCATCTGAGACGAGCGGAGAACCAGGGGGAGACAAGGAGGAAAGCGAGGATCTGGAGGATAATGAGGTCACGGATTTCGGTGGCTCAACTAATGATTTCACAGCATGTCCTGCAGCAGAGGAGTCAGCAGATTCCCCGAAATGCAGGTTTTTGTGGGACTTGACCACCTCGTTTTCATGGATGGTGGTTATGGGCCCCGAAGGAATGTAACCAGTCTTTTCTTGAAGCATGAAGTCCAGCTTGTACTGGTAGTCCAAATCAGGCACTTGATCTGACTGATTGTAATAAAGGTCGGTAGAGCTAAGCGAGTTCAGAGATCCCCTGCTGGACGTATTGAGGGACCCCCGGCTGGATGTCAGTGACCCAAGGCTGCTCCCAGAGGAAACGGACAATGTGCTGGCTGACAAGCTGTAAAACAAGAGGAATTAGGTGAGGAAAGCTTTTACGATATATTTCTTTAATAAAACTGTAGTTACGGCAATTCTGATTTCATGATGACTTGTTATTAGCAGTACCGACTCAATGGTCTATTATTTTTTATCAATTTCATAAGTGTACAGAGTGGATTTAGGAGAGAGTTATTATTCTTTGTGTACTTTGTGGTCCACATCTTTGTATATACACCTGAATGATTGTATGCCCATTTATCATTTTTGCTTCATGCTTTTAGAAGAGTAATTTTTTTCCCCTCTTTCCCCATATGCTATATATTCATCAAATGCTTATCCAATTTCCTTTAAAATATTGTAATGCTCTCTGTCTCAATCGTGTGAAAGACAAATTGATATTCCCCATTAATGATATGTTTTTTTTCACCAGATGTGACTGCGTAGTATTTTGAATGTGTCCTTACCGGGCTTAAAATGTTAAAGCTGCGGAAAGGGACGATTTAGTCAGCAGTGAATCAGATTATGCATTAGAAGTCTTTGGCTCCCAAATGCAAAGCCAAAGGAAAATAGTTGTTGAGTTGCCAAATTCACCGTGACTGCAGGTCGTAAGTGTGGTGCTCTGATCACAAGACTTATCCCACTTGTAATTTACGACATCAGTTGGTAGTTCATAAGAGAGAAGCAGCTGGCATCACAGTGCTGTCCAGCTACGTCAGAAACCCAGTACCACACTGTGTGAGAATATTTGGCACAAGTTTGCAAAAGCCTTGGTGTACACTGGGGTACTGCTAGAGTTAACCAGCTAAAATGCACAGCTGTCTGGCAATCAACCCATTATTTGTCCAGCTAGGACCACTGGAACAGTCAGGTTTGCGTGGAAAGCTCACTCTCCACCACTCTCGATTCCCTTGCTCCCCTCACTTCCAAAACAGTCTCCTACTCACGAAAGTCACCATGGTACACCAGCCACCTCCACTCCCTTAAAGCACAAGTGGATGCCGCTGAACGCACCTGGCTTAAATCGAACTTAACGGTCCATCAGCAGATCTGGCTGGAACATATCAAATACTACCGCTCCGCCTTCGCCTCTGCTAAATCGTCATTCTACTCCAAGATAATCTTGGAGGCCAAGGACAACCCCAGGCTCTTCTTCTCCATTACCAACCAGCTGCTCCGCCCACCCTCTCACGCCTCGCCCATCCTCACCTCCAATGCCAACTGTGAAGCGATGCTGGACTTCCTTGAATCCAAAGTTGAGGGAATCCATTCAGCTGCCTCTGCCCTTCCATCTATTACCCCATCCCCATCTCCCCTCTCATCCCGGCCCCTAACCATCCCTCCCTCCACACCTTCGAACCAGTCTCCGCTCCTCTCTCATAACCTGTATGAAACCAATCACACGTGCCCTCAACCTCATCCCTACCCATCTCTTTATCTCCCAGCTCCACCTCCTTGAATCTCTACTCACATAAACCTCTCCCCGTCCACTGGTACCATTCGCTCCTTCCTCTCCCGCCACTTCCTTCACAAGCCCCTCCAATCGGGTTTCCGTGCCACCCAGCACAGAAACACCTTTAGGTCAAAGTGATAAATGACATTCTGTCCATCTGCAACAAGGGCTCCCTCTACCTCCTTGTCCTCCTTGACCTCTCTGCTGCCTTCGACACCGTTGACCACTCTATCCTTCTCCACCACCACTCCTCTTGGCTCTGTCCGTGACTGGTTCATATCATACCTCTCACACTGCCTCCACTTCAACTCCACAAATGGTTTCTCCTCTAGCCCCCGTACCATCTCATGCAACTTTCCTCAGGGCTCTGTCCTTGGTTCCCTCCTCTTCACTCTCTATATGCTCCCCCTTGGTGACATCATCCACAGACATGGGGTCAACTTCCACATGTATGCGGATGACACCCAACTCTACCTCTCTGCCTCCACCCTTGACTCCAGGACCACTGCTGTCCTGACAGAATGTCTGTGAGACATCAAGTCCGAGATGAGAGCTAACTTTCTTTAGTGGAACATCAACAAGACCGAGGCTCTCCTGATTGGCTCCAGTCAGCACCTCCAAATCTCAGGCGCTGACAGCATCACCATCCATGGTTGCACACTCCACCTTATTGAGCCAGTCCGGAACCTTGGCATCTTGTTTTACCCTCAAATATCCTTTCTACCCCACATCCATGCCATGGCCTGCTTTGCCTTCCCCACCTCCACAACATTGCCCAGCTCCGCCACTGTCTCACACTGCAGGCCGCCGAGACCCTCATACACACATTCATAACATCATAGCTTGACTATGCAAACGCCTTGCTTGTCGGCCTCCCCAACTCCTCTCTCCATAGGCTGCAGATCATCCAGAACTCTGCAGCCCGTGAACTCTCCCGCACCAGGCTCCGTAACCCTATCACCCCCATCCTCACCTAACTACACTGGCTTCCCATCACTCAGAGGATACAATTCAAGGCCCTGGCCCTCACCTTCAAAGCCCTCCATGGGCTTGCTCCCCCTTACCTCTGCGACTTCCTAACCCCCTACCATCCTGCCCGCTCCCTCCACTCAGCGGGCTCCAGCCTGCTTCATGTCCCCCGCCTCGCCTGCCCACCATTGGCAGTGGGCCTTCTGCCACTCTGCCCCTACCCTCTGGAACTCCATCCTGCAGTCCCTCCACCTCACCCCCTCCCTCGCCTCCTTCAAGGCCCATCTCAAGACCCTACTCTTCAACCGTGCTTTCGATCTCCCTGCTTCCCCCCCCTGCCCTCCACCCTCCCCGACCCCCAGTTCGGATCCAAAACACTGACTGTCCAGTGCCTTGGGACGTCCTCCTAACGTGAAAGATGCTATATACATGTAATTTTGTTGTTGTTGTTGTTGTTGCTGCTGTTGTTGAAAGAATCCTTGCTCCCAGTGACACTTAGTCTACCACTCCAAGCTCTGTCGACGAACAACCTGGCTGGTCTGTCATCAACAATTCCCTGGAGTCCTGCAGACTTGCCTGGCTCAGGAACTTGACCACAACAGAGGATTGACTCAATTCCCATATTCTGTTGCCAATCTTAGAACTAATTCAACAAAACAACAAAATTACATTTGTATAGCGCCTTTTATGTCAGGAGGAATTCAGTCCAAGGAGACTTGACAACTCTCCCCTAAGACGAGGTGGAATTTGGGGATCATAAACCAATGTCTTCACGAAGGAAGGGGAGAAAAGCGGCTAAAAAAAGGAACGTTTTGGTTTACTACACGGCACTAAAACTCAGCTGAAATTCACCTGCTGTTTTAGACAAACCTATTGCAGCGCTCCAGCAAAAAACCATTACTGTGTATGAATGTTACGAAGTTTGGTAACAGTATTATATTTAAAAAGCTTTTGCACAAATCTGTTTTATTTTGAGTAAGAGAAAGCTCAGAGAGAAAAGGTCAGCAATCTGCCTCAATTCTGTATTTTATAATAGAATCATTGAATGTTACAGCTCATCAAGTCTGCACTAATGATTTTCTCCACATGAGTCAACTAATTCCACTACTCGCTCCCCAAACTCTTTAAATTCTTTCTTTTCTTCCTCTTCTATGGAGTGTGCCTGTTCCCAAAAGACTCAACGCTATGAAATGCTCTCTCTCTCAGTCTCTCATTACTCTATGGACCACTCTCTTCCACCATGTTAGTTAATCTGTTGTCACACATTATTTATCAGCTAGGAGGGTGGTTATGGGGAGAAGGAGGGGATGTTGGAGGGGAATACTAATTACATCTCTACTGCACATAATGGCAACCCAAATAATCAATTCCATTTAAATAATCGGCACACATCTAGAAACAGTACTAATGCAAGGTATGACTTTTTGTCGTTGACATGGCTGTACCTTTTCAGCTGTGAATGCAAAAACGTGGTGAGCTGTGTGGCATCTTCAAGCTGCCGTATTAAACCCCTCCTCTTCTCTTGCAACTTCAGTCTGTAAAGAAAACAATTATGACTCAATAAATGACATCTGACCACACCGGTCACACACAGAAACTGAATTAAAGGCAAATGCATTCACATCTTGTGTTTGGCAACAAGTTTACTTAACCTGCCGCTTCTTATTGAGCTACAAAATTGGTAACTTTACCAACAAGCTGAGAGCAGTCCTACATGTCCAATCTGGGTAAGGATTCTGTGGGCAGAAGGTGATGCAGAACAACAGGAACACAGATTTAGGGTTGACAGATGCAATTTCAAATATCTTTCTAGTGATACTCATTAATTATCCTCTTTGCCCAGAGGGTAATTAATATTCGGAACATGTCGCCAGGAAGGTGGTTGAGGCCAGGACTATTTTAAAACAGTTCAATGTTGTGATAGGAATAATCATTCACCCATAAAATACACACTCATTCCACTTTACTGTATTTCCTATGACATGAAGCACTTTGATGTGAAAGGCGCTATATCAAACACAAGGATTATTATCATTATTTATTATTTAACCATGCTTCTAGGATCTATGAATATAATTTGAAATTAGTTACTTTTGATCAATACTTACAATTTTTTTAAAAAGTGCACCGATATAGTAATATTTTAAACTAATATTCTTGTTAAGTTTGCAACAAATGTCATGTTAGCCTTTGGAAATGGAAGCATCTTCCCCCTTCATGAATAGCGTTTGATACAAAAGTACATGATGGCAATATGCTGCTGTGAACAGCTGAGGAAATCCAGTGTTAACAGTGTGACAGACCTCTCAGCGAGTGCTTCACTTGGTGTGCTCTGAGTAGAGAGCAGGTCCTCCTCCAGTTGCTTCCTCTCCACTTCCAGTCGCTCCAGCTCCACCTGTGAGCATTTCCGCAATGTCACGAATTGCAGTTCTTTCAGAAGTTCTTCCTTTTCATTGATCAGCATCAACTTATCTCGCTCGACATCCAGAGCCCCAGGCCATGCCTCGGAGTCCAGCTTCGACAATTCGATTTTTATATTCGCTATTCTGTAAATCAAAAATTGGTTTCTTTATTAACAAAAACCTCAGGCTAAGATTTTACAATATGCTGCCCTCTACACGAAAGAAACAAGACAGAAGGTCTTGCCCTTGGTGCCCTGTACACATTCAGCAGGTAAAGGAAGCACTGAGAATGTAGCTGAGAAAGAGCGTGTAAGGGAACCAAGAAACAATGTGGTAACAATAACAACAACAACAAACTGCATTTACTTAACATCTTTCACGTTGGGAGGACGTTCCAAGACCCTGGACAGTGAAGGGTTTGCACCCAAGCTGGGGGTTGAAGTCAACAGAGGTGGAGGGAAGGGGGAGGATGGATGTGGTAACATTTGTGGCATTCCTTAAATGTTCCTGAAATCGGCATCGGCATTGATTTGAGAAATTAATTTAAGGTATATATCGTACATTTTACCTCAAAGATACAACGCCAGGTGAGAAAGACATCAGTAATGGAGAGAAACAACTGGACACATATTAAAAAGACAGCGAGAGAACTCACCTAGAAAATTAGAATATCTTTGCTTCAGAATTATCAAATCAAAATGTCAGTAACTAATTGTGACAAATTGAACTGAGAAATACACTGGACCTCCAGGTTGACAATGCAGTATTGTAATTTTTCTTCTATTTGTACTTGGTCAGGGATCCTGTCGGTGGAGGGAGGGGAGGAGAAGGATAAAGGCGAAGAGAAGAGATTCTACCGAGGATAATTTAGCTTCTTCAAACTATCAGATTCAATCAATAACGTCCTAAGAAGACCAGAGAACTGACCCAAAACCCAGCAAGAAGAAGCACACTTCACAGGTATCGTTCAGAAATTAAACTGCTTCATGAAATTTAAATGTGTCGTATAGACAGCTATTAACAATTCAAGTGGAACATTACTAGCTACCGCATTTTTACACTGATTATTCTCAGGCACGGAATCAGAAAATGGATTCTTTCACAAAGAATACATATTGGTCTTTGACAAAAATATTTCACCAGATCTAATATGCCTAGAAACACAAATATCTAATTTCATAATTTGAGAATCTGCCATAAAACAACATCTCAACCTTTTATATTGCACCAAGTGAAATGTTTCCCTTGAAACAATTCCAAGCTGGTTACACACACATTCACTCAAATCACAAAAACGGATTTACAAACCATGAGAAACAAGACACAAAGATGTAAATCACAGGTCCATGATCTGTTAAATGGAATAGCGAAGGGTGGACTCTCTCTTCAGTGAAGCATTCTGTGTTAATAATCCACAAGGAACAACCTCAGAGACTGGTTCAAACTAAGAATAGAACAGCACAGGGGTGTGCAGAAGAAAGCAGCCCCAGCATTGTAAATGTCAAGGCCAATCAGCAATTCCATGCTAACTAACTAGCCATTTGCACTTGCAAGGTGAATCTGCACCAGGAAAACCCAACAGATGCACTGGCATTCAGCTTTAACTGTGTTTGACAATGCTAGTTGTTCTGCCTACGCAAAGGGTTGTAAATGCATTCTCATTAGGAAGCACGGCAGACTACATGGTCACATTTAGTCTGAAATGCTAACATACTTCAGAATTTAATTTATATTTATATCGCACCCTTAATGTTGAGAGGACGTCTCAAAGCGCTTGCATAGAATCTGTCGCCTAAATGTGGGTCCTTGGGTCTTATTACAAACTAAAATACAATAATCTGACAGCACGGAATTGTCAAAAGAAATCTTCTTTTTAAAGTGTCTGTTTCCCCAAACCTGATTTTCCTACAAATAATAATCTTTATTCAAGAAACAGACTGTTGTCAAAGCCCTGCTCTGCTCGTTATCTGCTTTGATATTGTAATTTTTCTAGCTGCCATCATGCACATTGAATATAGATGTGATATTTTAGTTTGTTCTCTATCAATTTCTTTGATTTGAAAGTTAACAGCACAACAGTCTAGTTACCTGACTGTAGAGTTCAGATATAATATTCAGCGAGCTTTCAAATTAACATTGCAGGCGTCTGCTAGAATATTGCAAACCTGAAATGGAGCTCTCTTCATTAGCAGGTTCAGATCCTCATCTTCACTTTTAAAGAAATCTGTGCACTCAGATATGATTAAATTACCTAATCCTGCTAATTACAATATGCTAAAAATAGGGAAGGTAAAGACAATAGGTTCAGAAGCGAATTTGATAGTTGTTTAGCAAAGAAATCAATTGAAGGAAGAGGTATGGAGTCGCATAGGATTACAATATTTTTATTTTAGAACTGGCCACATCCGTCCTTCAGATGAGATGTTAAGCCCAGGTCCTGTTCAGGTGGATGTTAAAGATCCTATGGCGTTGGAAAAGAGAAGGGAGTTTCTCCCAGTGTTCTGGTCATCAGTTTCCCAGATCAAATTGACACTTGCTTCATGACTGTTTGTCGAAACTGGCTGCTGCGCTCACCTAACAAAAACTTACAGTAAATTGTGTACTTCGAGACATCGTCTTGTCTTGAGCGGTGCTATATCAAATGCAAGGATTATTATTAGGGAACGCCATGTCTTTCCTGGTCCTATGTATTTCTATTCTGCAGTACAGAGCAGAAAGGCTGCTGCAGATGTTCCAGCAGCTTCGAATCACTGTTCCCCAATGGCTCTAGCTGGGGAGAAGCTGCAGATGCCAGGCGTTCCTCATGTGGCCAATCCGGGGCCAGATTACCCTCCATAAAGTGAGGAGGGACATTGTCACATGTGTTGCTCAGGGGTGTGTGATCCCCTCTTAGTTAACAATTCAAGCGGCAAAGATCTGGGATCATAAACTTAAAGCTCAGTTTCAAATTGCTACCTCTGCTTCCACAACATTTCAATAATTTCCTTCAGCAAGTGAACAGGGCATGTGAAAAAATAAATTATAAATATTCCATTTTGTTATTGACCTTGTTACCAAGCAACAGAACCCACAGGCATAGGCACGCCGCTGTATGTTCCTTTTATGGAGAGTGTTTATTCAGAAGCAAATCTGGAACAGCATCTCACACCATCAATCATTGCTTTTAGCTAGTAAGATGCATATAAACATCAATAGACTGCTAAAATGAGTGGAGCTTCTTTCATGAGATTCTGAGTATGCAGAGCTCTTTGAACCAGCATGACAGATACTTAGATATTGTCTCTGAAGTCCTTCCTCTTTGACTGTGCCTTTGGTCATCCTCCCATCCCCATCCCCCTTGCCCTTTTGATTCCAACCCCCAGCTCGGGTGCAACCTTGTGACTATCCAGCACTTTGAGATGTCCTCCCGACGTGAAAGGTGCTTAATAAGTGCAATTTGCTGTTGTAGATATTGAGCTTGGAACTCAATGGATAACCTAGTGGCAAGCTAGAGATTCTTGGCCAGCATTCACAAGGTCAGTAGAGAGAATGTGTTGTGTGGGGAAGCCTGAAGCACTGAAGAGAAGAAAGAGTCTTTACAGAAAAATGCAGGATGATAATTTTGCAGCCTTTTTTAGTTCTGGAGTTTTCTTTGGTTTCAATGGACTGAAGCTTGTAAGAGCTACAAACTGAAAACATTCTGAGATAATGTGGTCTAACGTGTGCTATTTCTTAATGGGATTTTTTAACAATTACTGCATGAATTTGCCTCAACATATGGGAACACCGTTGTTGACTGAGTTCACCGTCAGTTCCTGAACCCCACCCTTTTATTTCTGCAATGTTGACTCAGATCACTCAACATAGATACGAGTGTCACTATTTGCAATATGGCCCTTTATTCTTGGGTCTGGTGTTTTAAATCTGCCCTAAATTAGTATAGACATGGGTGGAAGACAGAAACAATCATCCTTATCATCTGAGGAATGTAGGCTCTCACCTTAATGAGAAAATATGCAAAAAAATGTACAAAAACCTTTGGGAGTGTTTTTGCATTTGACACTAAGTGCACTGAATAATGATGATTAATTATCACATTGTCAAGTGTGCTACGCTTGGGGACATATGGAATATCATATGTGTGTTTAATAAAGGAGCTGAAAGATTACCTTCTCTTAGCCTCTTCATACTGAAGACTCAGTCTGACCTTCTCAGCAAGATTAGCTCGGCTTCTTGAGCTAAACTGGAAGAAAAATAAAATAGGTTAAAGAAGACATTCTTAAAACTCTTGGGTCGTCTCCTTGTCATTATATTCAGAATAGGCCCCAAACTGCACCAAATGAAGCTTAGCTGCGTTTAAGGGCTCCAAGCTGAAAAGGTTTTCTGAGATAATGGGTTCTAACTTGCGGCAATTCTTAATGAGATTTCTTAACAATTCCCATTTGAATTTACCTCGACTCATGGGAACCCCATTCCAGAAGTTAACTGAAGTGATCGGTTCCTGAAAGCCCCATTTGCATGACTAAGATTCCATGTTAAGGAATCCAAATAAGAAATACTGCAAATTAGACACCGATTTTTCACTGCAAAAGGCTTTTTAACCCAGCAAGACCATTTTTCTCTTAGAATCTAAGATGGTGCACATTTATGAACATTTATTGGATTCCTTTTAAGAGATGTGGAAAACTGGCCTCAAATTGAGGCTACATTTAAGGATTTTGCATAAGTCTGCAACGTCTGATATTTGATCACTTGTCATCGTAGGCTGCCTGAAGGATGAAGGAGGGCTCAATTCTGCAAGTGTGTTCATATTGTAAAATTATTGTAAGAAAGAACTCGTCATTGCATTACAGTGCAACCCCGTAACAATGTGTTTCTTTATCAAGGAGGTTGATCTGTGAACCCTATTCACTGTGAATGTGTGCACCCAATTCATTCACTTCTCATTCCCTGGCCCGCTTTTGTGCTAAAATGGCCAAATTCTAGGTTATTAGGGTGGCGACAAATAAGAAATGACATTGAATGTAATCTTATGACCTGGATGTTGGTTGATAATTTTTCACAGGGAGCGAGTCGATCAGCTGTGAATGTGGGGAGTGACACCAGCTAACACAACTTGTTATAAACGTAGGTTGGGAATTTAAGGACCCCAAACACTGTTTTATAATGAAGCTCCACTGTAGCCTTCTTAACCACATCAGCAAGTCTCAAAGTGCTTCACAAGTGATTACTGTCAAGTGTACTGGCTGTTTTCGGTAGGCAAATGGCAAGTGGAGTCCTGTAGCTCAGTGGTTAGAGCACTCGCTTTGCAAGTGAGAGACCTGAGTTCAATTCCAGGCAGAGGGCGAAACCTTGGGCAAGTTTCCTTACTCCACACAGAGCCTAATAATAATCCCTCCAAAAAAACAAAACAATAATAAATTGGTCATTTTCAATCCATGACTGTTTGTGGGACATTGCTGTGCGCAATTGGCTGCCGCGTTCGCCCACAAATATACAGTCAATTCACTTTACAGTGTGTCTGTGAAGCGCTTTGGGACGTCCTCCCGACGTGAAAAGCGCTATATCAAATGCAAGGATTATTATTATTATTAAATGCAGCAACCATTTGCGCAAACAAGGTATCCACAAACCTTCAATTTATTGAACGGTCGATTAACCTGAAAGAATGTTGGCCAGGACATTAGGAGAAACCCCCTTTTTTAAATAGTGTTACGGGATCTTTAATGTCTACCTGAGCAGGTAGACAGGATCTTGTTTTAATGTGTGACCTAAAGGACAACACCTCCAAAAATGCAACACACTTCCAATAATGTGCTGGTGTGTCAGCCTAGTTTGTGAGTGCTTTGTGTATCAGGCTTTTTGGGGACTTTACTAATTTTGGATTTGTGATTTAAATTTTGTAATCCAATGTTCTGAACTGGCAGTTTGTATAAATGCAACAAATCCAGTTTGTAAATATCATGTTTTAACAATAATAAAATAATAACTCTTGCATTTAATATAGCGTCAGTAGGACGTTTCAAAACACTTCACGGGATTTTACTATATAGTGTAGCGACTGTATTTTGCAGACAAATTTTGTTGGCATCTGAAGTCACTGTGTGTTTACACTGTACTAAACAAATTAGATTAATAATGAAAGCTCTTGGTACACATTCCTGGCATCTCTCCACCTGGGTGATTGTCACAAAAGATACATGTGAAAGAAAAATCTTCTTTAGAAAACTGTCACAAAGTGTTCTTATTGTGTGAATAGAGCTTGAGGGTGTTCATCTAGGCATCACTGAGGTTTGTAGGGTTGGGAAATCAATTTGACCTTTTAGGCAGTTAGAAGGTTACAAAATGCCACAGTATGATAATAATACTCCCATTCTTGGATGAGAATTGGATAAAGAATAATATAACAAGGTTCGGTTAAAATGCAAGGAATGGGTATCCAGAGTAGATGGTTCACCTACAAAAGCTCTAAAGCTCTATCTAGTCCATGCCACCCTCCTGGTCTCTCTTATTCCTGTCTCCAATAGCCCCATCTCCCTGTTCAGGTGGACATTAAACATCCCATAGCACTATTCAAAGGGAGAAAGGGGTTTCTCCCAGCATCCTGGCCAACAACCCTCCAGATAAAATAGATCATTCACTTCATGGCTGCTTGTGGAATATTGATTGTTGTATGCAAATTGGCTGCTATATTTTCCTACAAAAACACGTTCACAATTTTTTTTAACAGAAAAACTCTGTGAAGCACTTTGAATCATTATATCAAATGCAAAAATAAAATTATAAGTTGTACTGGTGGGTTATCACTCTTGGATGCACTCAGAATAACATAGAAGGAAATGATTAAAATGTTCCAGTAAAAAAACAGGCATAAACAACTCAGTACCCAGGAAAAAGCCCACACATGACATTGGTGTACACTAATAGGTCCTCAAGGCTGCAAACCTTAACTTGAAAGCAGAACTCTCCAAACTCAATGACACTAAATAGAGTGATCTGGTTTAATGAATATTCTGTTCTAACATACAAGTTGGTTAATGAAGAATGGATTGACCATTTCAAGTTTTTATTCTTACAGTGTTAAGAACAGCCCTGCATGCAACAATTATGGCACATTAAAATATATAGCAATTTTAGTGTTAGCAAATGTCAGTGCAAGATTACTAGTACCATCTGAGAACAGACTAATACTGCTCAGCTAAATCACTGCAATATAGTGAAATCCTGATAATCTATCCAGTTTATTAAGTGACAACTACTGGAAACTGTAGTGTATAAGTATGCACATTTCTGTATGGACATCATGAACGTCTTGTATGTAAAAGGCAACTTGATGTATAAATGAGGGGGAAACGAATAGAGGGCGTACAGAGATGAAGATTAGGATGGGTGGAGAATTATAGAATCATAGAATCGCACAGTACAAAAAGCAGCAATTCGGCCCATCAAGTCTGTGTCAGTGAATGTGTCTGTGAATGTATTTTTGTAGGAAAATATAGCAGCCAATTTTCACACAGCAATCAATATTCCACAAGTAGCCACGAAGAATAAAAACTGTTTCTGAGCTGTATCTATGTAATTGGACAAGGTGGAGATTTGACTTGATGAAGTGATCGAGAGGTCAAATAGCCTCCTGATATTTACTCTACAGGTTAAATGGGAAAAATAGGCATTGGACAAGGTACCAGAGGGCTGAGTTTGATCATGGATCAATGCTCCAGCATGAGGCATCTCACTCAGGAGAGAGGGAAGAAAATTATAGAGAAAAAAATTACTTCAACCTTGGACTCAGCCTGTGATTTGAGTTTTCAAATATCTAGAATGTGCTACTATTGGAAATGAATTCAGTCAATGGGAAGCAGTTGGCTATGTAAGGAACAACCTGTCTACAGGAGTGGTGGCCAACCCAGGTGACGCTGAGCCATCAAGAAGGATCCTCCTGAACATTTGGACTAGTCTGGGTAAGTCTGTATTCAATCGATACTGTATTTCTAGCTTTTTCTTGATTGAATATTTCTTGATTTATGCCATAAATCAAGAAATATTGAATCCATCAACTGTTCTTCATCCATAATACTGTAGGCCAACAAAATACATTTTCTTGATTGAATATTTCTTGATTTATGGCATAAATCAAAAAATATTCAATCAAGAAAATTTATTTTGTTGGCCGACTGTATTATCGATGATGGACAGTTGCATGGTGCTGCAATCCTGCTGATTAACATCACCAAAATATAAGGTTGGGAGATGGCCTGATAGAGGTCCTTAAAATCATGGGGGGGTTTCGATAGAGTTAATCAGGAGGAATTATTTCTATCAATTGATGATTTAAGATAGTTATCAAGCTGGGAGGTTAGGATAATGTTATGTCATGCAGAATGTATAAAAACATCAGCAATAGCACTACACATTTATAGTAGCAAATTAAGGAATAAGATAAAGCATTTTACTGGCCCTGCAGTCAAACATCAGCCTAAAAGAACAAGCATCATCTTAATCCTGCTCATTAAAAGTAACCTCCTTTCCCACAGGCTGTGCAGCTCCCCATTTCCAGTTGTTTTGTTTCTTGTATCACATTGTCTATTTTGCATTCCATTTCATTTATCAGGAAAGTCCTTTGACAGTTAGTTCTTGTTTCTACCCGAGAAAGGTCACAAAGCAACAATAAGCATTTACATAGCTTCCTTCTCATGGGGTAGCGTCTCGGAGAAGAAGCTTGACAGAAGTGTACTGTCACTGATGCCATCTCACTCTCTGGTCTCAGTGTACTTAAAGTGTTGAGATATTTGAAATTCCTGTGGTTTCAATATTGAGTAGTGGCCAGAATGTTGTTGAATTGCTTTCTCATGTGATTTTTTGATGGACGTTTCTTACTAGCAGATACGTGCAGTGACGGTATGCCTCTACCATTATCATTGCTGCCAGTCTGGTAACTAAGTCAAGTTCAGGAGTTCAGGCAACACGATGCTCCTGCAAAGTCAACTTGAGAATTTTTATATAGGCCTATTTGAATGTCCTTCTCTGTTTCAGCTTTTATTGTAAGATTGAGCCCAGTGATTTCTCCATTGCCATTTAACAAGAATAAAAACATCTTGGTTTACTTGTGGAATACTGGTTTAAATCATATTGAGTTAGGATACGGCAAAGATCAGACTGATTTAGAATTTGGCTTAAATCAATCTGAGTTCATCCTTTGGTGAAGTTTGTTAAAGAGAAAATGTCTATAAAATATGATGGAAATGCATATTCAGTTCCAACTCAAGTTCTGTCCTCTTTAGCAGCTACTTATAAATTCTTTCTCAACCTAAAGGTAAGATTTTTGGATGTTAAGTCTGGAACTTTATCTTTCCCAAAGCCTGAAGCGTTGTGAGGTGGCTCCTCAAAATACTATCTGAAAAATGACAAGTCTCTGCAGTTTTTTGTAGAGATCAGAACATCTTTTATTGAAGCAGTGGAAATGTAAACATTTTTAATTCCCTTTTGATTCTGTTTATTTGTTGTATAATAAATATGCTTTTTAAAAATGTCATGCAGAAGCTACTCACTTCGCCTGTGATATCCGTTTGAGAGCCAGCATCCAGACACTGCCTGGAGATGGAGAATTGGGAATTGGATGTTTTGGACTGTAACTCTGACTCCAAGGTTCCCACACTTCGACTGGAATGGAATCGATCTTTGAGTTTGGCCAGGCTCTGAAAGGAAACAAAACAATATTAAATTAATAAATAATCAAACAAACAAATAAACGAATATTCCCTACAGATCTGTATTGATATAGAGCCTTATCATGTCTCAAAGTCTCAAAGTTTCTTCAACATGTCTTTGCAGGATTTTAATGCAGTGTAGTGGCTGTATATTTGTAGGCAAACACAGCAGCCAATTTGCACACCTCACTGTATACTTTCCAGAACACTGTACTGTACAGTCCAGAAGGTTAACCATCCAACAGGATGGAAGGTAGCATTGCGCTAAAGGATATGTATGCTGTAATTTGTTTTGGAAATGTATTTTTACTGTAAGTATACAATCTAGCATTCACTCCCTTCTTCCAGCTACTCCCACTTCCTTCCATCCTATTTCTGGGTACATCTAGTGACAGACACTGTAACCGGTTTATCATCTGTGTCACTGCCACGAGCTGTCTGCAAAACAAGGGCCAAGCTGCAGGTGGGGGGGAATGTGCAGACTCCACAGTATACTCGAATCCCAAATGGTGGATAATAGGATTCAGAGGCAGGCAGGAGGCCAGATTGTATATGTGCACTGCTGCAGGGAAGAGCAAGGTGCCATCACTGGAATATCTGTTCCAATTTCATTCATTATTTTGACTGTTTCAAGGTCACAAGCTCATACAGATAAACCGAACTTGGCAAGTCAAACTCAACCATTTTCAGTCCATGTCATAGACAATTTGAACTGCATTAGTATAGAAAGTTTTATTTCGGGTACATTTAATTGATGTGTTTTGCCAAGTGCAGTTGGACTGTGAAAATGAAAGTCAGAGTGAGGCTCTTCTCTTAAAGGCCAGGATCACCGAATCAGGGATTTTTTTTTGAGAATACTATGTTCCCTTAAATTGTGAGGAATGAATTCTAAAAGAATGCTGAAAGCTAACCAGCAATTTAACAACAGGCTGCTACAAAAATTATAATAATAATATTCCTTGCATTTAATGTAGCGCCTTATCAAGTCTTCGAGATGTCTCAAAGCGCTTCACAGAACATACTGTAAAGTGAATTGACTGTATATTTTGTGGGCGAAACCCGGCAGCCAATTGTGCACAGCAGTGTCCCACAAACAGTCGTGGATTAAGTGACCAATGTTTAAAAGAACATTTTTATAGGGATTATTACCCCCGGAAAAGCGATCCGCCAATCAAACCCAGTTTCTCGCTTACGAGGTGAGTGCTCTAACCACTGAGCTACTGGATTCCGGATCTACTCAAATTGGCCATTGTGATATTTACTCTAAGGAGACAGCCTTTCAATGAATTTTTTCATACTTTAGATTGAATTTTTGTAAACACTAAGAAGCCGTTGAATCAGTAAATGTTGGATGTTATCTAAGAGTTGCCAACACTGTATTGTGGAGGCACACAGTACAGAAAGCAGTGGAGGAAGAAACCAGACTAAATCAAATCACATCCACTGTGCCCCTTTGCACACAAGGAGGCCGAATATGCAGGTGCTGGTTTACATACTGTGTTAACTTTAAATTCACAGATGAATTTCCCTCTTTTAGGGTGGACATTGTAGCAGTACAAACTCTCTCTCACCTGCAATCACAGTGCACATAACATAGGGCAAATTTCCATTCTTTATTTATAATGGCCAAGCCCATTGTGTTTTGGGATCAAATAGTTAATTAACACTAGCAAAGAGCACATTTTAGATAAATAATGATAATAATAATAATCCTTGCATTTGATATAGGGCTATTCATGTCTTCTAGATCTCATGATGCAATGCCAATTTCAAAAAACAGCCACTATTGCCACTAAATGGAAGCACTTTATGACAATAATGACTTAATTCAGCATTTACATTTAAACCGGGAAGATAGAAATTTGAGTTGCCAAAGCAGCTGTTTTCTTAAACCTCATGGCGAATAATGGACATGTGGGAGTAATTTCCAAGAAATAACCTCATCAAAGGTTTCAGATAACATCATAAAAGGGCATGGTAAAGCCCAAGCAGTTTATAGCTGCCCTTTGAAACCTGAAATTACTCACAAATAGCTGTTATTTTTTATATAACAGATATCTCCAGATTCCCAAATAGATTTTAGAAAAAGGGCAGAAAATATACAAATCGTTGTTAAGATGTGGAATGCCTTGTTGGGTGCGGTGGTCAAAGCAGGATCCATATTAGGTTCCAAGAGAAAACTAGATAGATAATAATATATAAATAATAATCTTTGCATTTGATATAGCACCTCATTGGTTATCAAGATGTCTCAAAGTGCTTCACAGAATATACTGTAAAATGGATTAATTGTGTATTTTGTGGATATCTGAAAAGGAATAATTTACACAGATTTGGGGAAAGAGCAGGAATTAGAACTGAATGGATTGCTCTTTCAAAGAGACAGCACCGAGATGAGCCGAATGTTCTTCTGTGCTATAAATTTTAATGGTTCTATAACAAAGTTTCTTGACAGTTTTGTTCTATTTTCATTCTCAGAAGATTAGTACAAACCACAAAATTGACTCAAGACCATATTCTCATAGGCAGGGCAATGTGATCAGAGTAGACTTGTCAAATGGCAACTTCTAAATCAGGGTATATTATATGAATATCAATGCAATGTAATACAAATTGACATTTAAATATCGCACCTTTCATGTTAGGGGGCGCAACCCAAGGCACTTAACAATACTGGTTATTGTTAAGCGTCTTAGACCCATGTTTAGACCATGCTTTCAGTCACCTTTCTCCTCCCCAACCCCTCAGTTCCCACCCTCAACGGACACCTGAGCTAGGGTGGCAGAGGGGTTGGGGAGGGGAAAGATTACTGAAAGCACAGTCAAAAGGAAGGTCTTAATCGGACCTTGAATGAGGCAAGGGAGGGAGAGAACTCCAGGCTAGAGTTCCTGAGAGTGGGAGCAGATAAAATAAAAGCCCAACTGCTAATGATGGGGCAGATAGAGCAAAAGACATGAAGCAGGCACTTGCTAAAGAGCAATAAATTGAGATGCCATCTGGCGTGGAGGGTGCTATATAAATCCAAGTTGTTGTTGTTATAAGTTTATCCAAAAGAAAAGTGATTGTGAGGAAAGCAAACACACAGGTACCTGCATTAGATCTTGCTTCTCTTTCTCCCCAGAAGTAATAGCCTTTTTGATCGTTTTCAGCTCAGTCAAGATGGCTTTAGCCTCCTTTAGTTCATAACCGTTCTGGACTCCAGACATCTTCCGGTCAATTCTACAAGGAAAAATTTAATTGATTGAATTGTAGAAAAGTTTAATTGAATCAAACCTAGGTCTCTCGCTTGCGAGGAGAGTGCTCTAACCACTGAGCTACAGAACTTCACAATTGTATTGTAAAGGACACTCCTTTGAGGAGCTGCAAAAGTTTCCAGTCCCAATAAAAATTTATATAACAAAAATGATTCTTGCATTCAATATAGCACCTATTTTGCTTTTCTTCAGCTGGATTTCTGACACGTGCGGAAACCCATTCGTATCAGCAATGCCTCCCAAACTGCCACTAAATGAATGAACAATTTATCTGGAGGATTATTCACCAGGACACTGGGAGAAACTGCCTTCTCTATTTGAATAATGCCATGGGATCTTTAATATCCACCTGAACAGGCAGATAACATCTCGGTTTTACATATCCAAACGATGTCACTTCCGATAGTGCATATTCCCTCAACTTGGCACTGGAGTGTCAGCCTAGACTGTGAGTTCATTCCAACCTTTAGACCTGGAAGGGCACAAGGAGGAAATCAGGGGGTCGGGGGAGTGGGGGGAATAGGCCTTGAAATTTCTCAGAGCCAACTATTTCAGGGCTGAGCAAAACAGCAAGCTTCCAATTAGAGCAAAGATGGCCTTGTCAAAGCCCCGCTTTGGGTATTTGTAGCAAGAAGTCAGCGGATGCCAATCTGAGGAGTCTTTGTGTTTCACTACTGCACAAATATATCTGTTTGTAGTAAATTCAACAACATAAGGTAATAATACAAAAATCCAGCCTTTCCATCAGAATATTGTTTTGTTGTGGTATTTTGTTAATAATTACCCAAACATATTTTGGATTCCTATCCAAACTGCAGGTAAACACACCATACCTAACAATACTTCAATGTTAAACTGATATAATCAAAACAATCTTCTTGGCTAAACTTTAACCAGTTTATAAGTAACCTTATTAATCATATTACAGTATTTTGGTTTTAATTTTGATTTGCTCTGAGACTTGGCAGCTTCACTGGCATTATCCACAAGCCTTTATAAATTTGAACCTCAGCCTCACTTGCTATCTGTATGTGGGTGCTTTTATTAGGCAAACACAATACAGTCAAATTTACATTCTATACCACTTTTCACATCAGGAGGACATCTCAAAGAGCATATGGTGGTTGAAAAGTGACCAAATCAGTTCCATTTTGTATGAGTGTGCCATAAATTTAAAATTGGATTGAAAAATGTAATTTAGAATAATATTTTTAGATGCATCAAGAGAGCAGAACAAGAGGACGCAGACTTTGGGTCCCAAAGGGCAATTTCAGGACAATCACCAGGAAGTACTTCTTTACCCAGAGGATAAGTAATGACAGGAATAGGTTATCAGGAAGAGTAGTTAAGACCAGATCGCTAGACTTACTTAAAAAAACATTTGGATGCTGTGATGGAAGGATGGTAGGGTGAGTATCTGGGAGAGTTGAGATGAAATGGCACATCTCAAAATGTACCTCTTTAACCACATTTTCAGTTATCTTTCCTCTCCCACCTCCCCTGTATTCCACACCCAACTCAGCAGACCACCCAGCTTTGTCAGGCACTTTGAGACATCCTCTTGACATGAAAGATGCTATATACATGTGTATTGTATTGTAAATGGGCCGAATGGCCCATTTACAATACAATACATCTGAACCCTCTTCATCTGAACCCTCCTTGTGATCATCTGGTTAATTGCCCAGAATAAGCTTGGAGGGTCTACTTTTGGTCAGTGCAAGGCTCACGTGGGCAATAATAACCCACTGCTAGTTACCAAAATTGGTGAACTGTGTATTTTCTAGACAACATATATGAAACATTTGTGGGCGAAACGCGGCAGCCAATTGTGCACAGCAGTGTCCCACAAATAGTCATGGATTGAGTGACCAAATTATTATTTATTTTTAAGGGATTATTACTCCCAGAAAAGTGGTCTGCCAATCGACTAACAACCGGGTTCTACTTACTGCTAGGAAAACAGAGGCGTGTAGAGTAAGGAAACTTGGCCAACGTTTCTCCCTGCCGGGAATCAAACCCAAGTCCTCTCGCTTGCGAGGTCAGTGTTCTAACCCAAAGCTACAGGACTCCATATTAATATATAATAATAATATTATATATTAACATAAATACATTATATATTTACTACCGGTGACACAAAAGTTTGTTACACCCATTTTGATGTTTTAAATCAAAATTTAAATTAACCTCATACTTAGCGCAATGGCTTTAAGATGTGAGAAACTTACTCCTGTAGGGTTTCAAACCCTTGCTCTTTGTACAACAGCTCTTGTTTCATCTGGGAAAGCTCCCTCTTCAGTTTGTTGACCTGGTGAGGAACGGACAGAAAAAGAAAACAAAAATTAAACACAACCCTGGAGAAGGAGCAGGTGAAATGGGACCACGTGATAAGCCCTTTTCCCCCCCACTCTGTCATAAAAGGGAGGCTGCACTGTTATGGGAGCAATAAGGAAAACAGCTCCTCCTCACATTCTCTGCAAGAGGGAGCAATCTAAGGCATGCTTCATATTCCCAAATGCTCTCTCATATTCACAACTAATTCAGCCACAACCTCACTTCTTTCATTCAAAGTATATACAACCCTGCCAGCAAAGTAAAAGTGCATGTTGTACCATGTAAACGGATCCCCAACACTAGTGCGTGTTACATTCTTGAAAACATTTTTTAGCAAACATTTTAAAAATTACATTTTAGAGAATGATTTCTCATTCACTTCTTTGTTACCTCTTGCCTAGACTTTGCAAACACACTACTCACTGGTCTGTTGAGCTCCAGCATCCATAAACTCCAGCTAATCTAAAACTCCGACACTCACATCCTTACCCACAACCAGCTCCACACACACAGACACATCATCCAGTCCTCACCAGTCTTCCTGGGTCTCAATGGATTGATTTCATGATTCAGACTTTGACCAAACACCTCCCTCTCTCTGATCTTCCCCTACCTCACACCTCTGCTTGCCCATTTCACTTAGCTAACTCGGGCTTGCTGCTTACCTGCCCCCTCTCTGCCACCATTGGTGGCCAAGCTTTCAGGTACTATGCTCCCAACCTATGGAACTCTGTGCCCATAACCCTCTGTCTCATCTCTTCTGTATCTGTCTGTAAGTTTCGCCTTAAAACCCACTGCTGCGATCGCGCCTATGGTCACCTCTCTCTCCCCCTTCTCCCTTGCTTGGCGTCAAACACAATCTTTGTAAAGAGCTCTGAGATGTCCTATTTGAAGGGTGCTATATAAATGCAAGTTGTTGTTACTGAAAGCATTTTGCAACAAGATATTAGATGGTGGTTCGACATAAAATATAATATTGCAAAATTGTATGAAAATGTTTCCACCACCTTAGCATGGGTTGGGTGGGGCGGAGGGAAGTCTGGCATATAGTAACTGTCCTGCTTTGATCCTATCTCTGTACAAACCCCTCTCACAGGTGAATGCTACACATGAACTTCAACTTGACATTTTTCCTGTGAGTACTCAATCTTTCGAGGGAACAAATGGAACCTCTTGGAGGCTCCATGGAGTGTCTCAGGTTCCTGGAAGTCAAGGAGCTAAATGCATCACTGATCGAAAAACCAAGGTTCTTAATTGCTACTTAGAAATCTTTGAGTCAAATCCCTTCAGAAAAATAATCTTTGTTAGCATGGTTGTTCTTACCCTGACTTTTGTGGTGGATATTTCTGCCTTGAGGATATCAGGGTCATATTTAGTACTTGATGAAGATCCTGAGAACACTGCAAGAAATGAACAATGAATATCAATCTATGTTATACTATGGATAAATCTGCCCTCCTTTTCCTTTTTTTAAAAAAAAATTGCTCCCATTGGCATATGCTTCCCTCTGGGATCCTGCCGAAGTAGGCAGTGTTCATGCATGAGCCTTGGTAATGCGTTTCCCCAGCTCACTCGACAATGGAGGACCAGGCCTAACCTCTCCTCATCCAGGTGCCCCACAAGCTTTCTACCAGTAGAAGGTGCTGTAGAGGGACTAGAACAGGAACCCCTGGCTTGTTTTCTCCTCCCTAACCCTGGGAATGTCAGATGACGATTCAGCTTCCCATGCAACCCTGGCTGTGTAGGTGGCATAAATATTGTGGAATTCACAGTTTAGTTTAGACATTCTTAAATATGGTGATGGGTTTTTGTGTGTATCAGACACCCAGCTGACCAATGTTTTTTCAACAACTGAGAATTAAGAGTGAACGGGAATTCCTGTGCTCTGGCTGATGACAGCAGATCATTAGTGATTTGTTTCGGTCTGTACTGTACTTAGTGTCCTTCATTATAACAAAGCTCTCACTGAGCTCACCCTTCTCTATTTTCGCTCCCAAAGCAGAGTGAGTGATGTGTTTTTGTTTCAGGAGAGAAAGATATAATAGACCTGTCATTGGGAGTGGTGTTAATCAGCATGTATTACCCAGCAATAGGCAGCATACCAAAACATTTTCAACATTTTTTTCCTCTCTCCATCCGCACGGAATGATGCATCATCTTCAGGAATGTATCTCAGGAATTTTATTATTGACCAGACATCTACAAAGTTTGTTTACATGGACTATGTGAGAAAGCAGGAACTGCTGGAAGTTTGAGTAAAGCAAACATCTTACCTAAGTTTCCTGGTAAGGAATGAGGACACCAAGCTAACCTTCCTAGGGAGGAGGGGGAAGACTTCAATTGTAACATCCCTGGTGCTGCTGTTATTTGAGATCAGATAACCTTGGACCATCTTGGTCTGTGTGGCTCAGTTAATCTCTGTATATATTTCACCCACAAAATATAGAGTCAATACATTTCACAGTATATTCTGTGAAGTGCTTTGAGACATTCCAATGATGTGATAAGGCGCTATATCAAATGCAAGGATTACTATTAGCTGAATTATCAGGAGACGTATTTTGTAGTGAAAGGTCTTGCTAGTTATGAACTAAGAAATGTGGGCAACACATTTTACAAGTTGGCAGTAATTCGGTAATATATGGAAGTGTGCCATACTATCAAATGTCTATGGAAAACAGCATGTCTCTCTGGAAACTTCTATAGTACAGTGTTGAGCAGAGCTGGGTTTAAGTACTGAATAAAACTTCTGATGAATGTAACTTTGTTGAGGTTCATATATATTTAAAAAGTTCTTCTCTTACAAAACGAGAAATAGAATCAACACCTGAATTCTGTGAAACCCAAGTCAGTCTCTAGCTCAGGAGGTTACACTTGGGATTGATTATTGTTGTTGTAAGACCATCTTGTACAAGTGTCAAACAACCGACTAATCCCAGGAGACACCGAGCATGTCCAAATGTGTGGTTTCTCTCTTTCTTCACCCTGTATTCTTTGACATATTACATAATCTTCATCAAAGAGAGCTGCAGCCCAGAGCTGTCCTGCCAAACTAATTCAAATAGATTTATGTAAAAATGTCTAATATGAATTTATCTAGATCTGTCTTGTATAGATTTGTCAGCAAGAGAAAATAAAATAAATTAAATTTTTATAGCATGCAATTGGAAGGCTGTAATTGGGCTGTGGGGAACATGGAATTTGTATGTTTTCTAGATACCTGCCAAAAAATTACTTCAAAGGTAAAATGTTAAAATGTTAAATAGCTGTTCTGGTGACCAGGGATCAAATTCTCTAGGTTCACAACTTTTAAACAAAGATGACTGTGAGAAACCTGAGGGAGAAATCATTTTCCTGAAGTCCTGGGGGTATTCAATCCCAAATCTGTCTTTAAGGGCAGTTTTCAGTCGATAAAATGCTTCTCACATATCACTGGTGATGATGAATAAATATTTTTAGGAATACTGCAATTTTGCCCCGTACAGTTTCAGACTACTTTCTTGCACTTTAAGTAACACAGACACTCAGTTAGCAGCTTCATTTGAAAATTTAAAACTGGAAACATATACAAGCACAGAATAAATAGCACCAAAAGGAATCAACCAAGAACTATCACAGTTATTAACTCACATGGATAATAGTTAGATGTCTACTGAGTTCTCAGTCCACTACCAACTGTCTGCTGGTCACCATTTATCTTACAGTACTTACAACTTGTGCGGGAGCTGGACTTGTCCTTCCAAACATCATTCAAGCGCATGTACTCATCAATGGCTAGAGCCAGTCGCTGCTCTTTCACTTGGTACAGTTCTTTCTGAGTGCTGAGGGCATCCTGGGCCACCATCAGATAGTCTTTCAGCATTCTCTCCTGCTCCTTCCTCCATTGTGCCCGTGGGTCCTCTAACTGTGTAGTTTCTGAAATGTAAAGTTGTCATTCCATCATATCAGTCTGAGCGAGAGTACAAATGATTCAAGACACAGCACCTTGAAGAGCAACCGCCTGCATTATGGTCACTTCATGAAGTCAGACTGAGCGGTTATGGGTTTAACAAGGTGTCACAGAATCAGTTATTTACAGCACAGAAGGAGGCCATTTGGCCCATTGAGTCTGCACCGGCTCTCAGAGCAAGATGTTCATTCAATCCCACTGCCCTGCCTTATTATTATAGTTCTTGAAGCTTCTTTATTTCATATTCCTGTTTACTTTCCTCTTGAAACCTTACTTGTGCAGGGCATTCCACATCTTAACAACTATCCGAATGAAAAAACATGGGTCGTTCTCTTAGCTAAAATTATGATTTGCATACCTTATTAATTCAAAAAGAACAACTTGCATTGATATCGTGCCCTTCATGTATAGCAACATCTCAGATCACTTTACAGTGCTGGACACTGAGCATTGAGGATGGGGAAGAGGAGTGAGGTGACTCTAGGTAATGGTCAAAGAGGCAGATGTTTAGGCAGGTTTTTGAAGATCTGGCTCCAAAGTGACATGCTCGCCAATCAGAATCAAGTCGATCCTCTGTGACAATCTCGGTAATCCGGTTCCTGAGCCAGGCAGATCTGTAGTACTCCAAGGCACTCCTGATGACAAACCAACAAGCTTGTTCCATCCGCAGGACTTGGAAGAGCAGACCGATCTCAGGGAACAGGGATTCTTCCCACACATCACTTCTTAACCCTAAAAGCCTAATAGGTAGGGTGGTCCTCGTTGGACAAGCAATAGGAAGCTTGCCAGACCATACTCATAATGTCAATCTACACAGTTTTATCTAACTCCAGCAATACTCACTGCAGAATCCCCCAAGTTTGGGCTCTTCCTAACCTGTGCTTAACTTAGGTAGCATTAATTAATTAACATAAATTATTTCCTATTCCTTCCTATTTCCAAGCTATGGTTAGACTCCAGCAGTATTCCAACGCACACTCTGGGGTCCCCAAGACTTGCCTCTCGCTAACCTGCACCTAATACTTTCCAGAATTAGGTAAGAAGAATGCATCCCTCCAGGGCGAAAATTCACATTCCATTCCAACAATTTATCTCTGGGATCTCCATGTGTAGGTGGGATACATGAAAATCTCATCTTGGTTTGGATACTGTTAAGCATGGTGATGGGATTCTGCATGTGTCAGACACCCCACTGACCAGAAACAATTTTTCCTATTTGGGGAGCTCTATCATCTTTATGAAGTGTTTGAGCTGTTCACGTGCAAATTGTTGTGATCAATGCACCATGCAGATTACAAAGCAAAAATAATCTTTGAATTTGATACAGTGCCTAATCACATCTTCGAGATGTCTCAAAGTGCTTCACATAATATACTGTAAAGTGAACTGACTGTATATTTTGTGGGCGAAACACAGCAGCCAATTGCGCACAGCAGTGTCCCACAAACAGTCATGGATTGAATGACCAAATCATTATTTTTTTTAAAAATTGGGGGGAATTGGGTTCCTACTTACTGCTAGGTAAACAGAGGTGTGTGGAGTAAGGAAACTTGCCAAACGTTTCACCCTGCCGGGAATCAAACCCAGGTCCTCTCGCTTGCGAGGCGAGTGCTCTAATCACTAAGCTACAGGATTCCAAAGCAAGATGATATGTCTAGTAGCAGGACTGCAAGCATCTTTTTTAAAGACCGATTCATTATTTATAATCCCAATCCTAGACTCTGGAAAACTGAATGCCTTATTAGAATCCACAGCAAGCTTCCAGCCTCAAGCTCAGAAGGGAGAAAATAAACAGACAGTTTGATTTTACTCCTCTAAACCGAGTGGTGCAGAACAATTTGCCTAAGGAGTCAGATAGTATCAACAGTTACAAGAAGAAGCCAGAAATAGAGAAGGGCATCTGGGGGCTATGTGGTATACAGACAGATGGTACAGTATTTTAAAATTGGAATCTTCAAAATATACTGTAATGGTCTTTTCCTGTCTTGAACATTCCAACGTTGCTCTATATACTCTCCTGATGTCAATTCTTGTCCTGGAGTACAGACAATATTAAGAAGAGGCAGAAGGTTTTTGCTCTGAAATCAGACGGGAATAAATATTTCCCAGTTCTGACTGTTTTTGTAAATTAACAATCAACATGAATTTGTAGTGTATGTTCAGGCAGATTTTCCTCGGACTGAGCTACTCATTAAAAATCACTTGTTATTAATTTTTCAAAAGTATAGTCCATAAGAGCACAAACTTATCGCAAATGGAGGTAGACTGCAGTACTTTTTATCACATTGAATGTGTTGGGGAGGATCAACTCCAATATCTTTCTCTGAATTTAAACTTGGATTAAGGCCTGATACCAGTTTGTAGGATGCCATCGTGAACTCTAGCCCTGTGTCCTCTCCCACACCATCTTTGCTCAGATACATTAGCTCCCCATCTACATCAAATTCCAGATCCTAGTTCTCAAGTTAAAATCCCTTTACAGACCTCACGCCACCCTTCCTCCTGTCTTCGACTACCAAAATACACTTTTACTTGAGGTTAAAGACTCTATATCAAATGCAATAATCATTATTTTATTATTATCTTCAAAACCCACTTTGCGACCAAGCTTTTTGATGTCATTTTCAGTCATTTTCCACCACTCCTCAGCTTCCCTCCCCCATTACAAGCTCCCAGTATGAGATTTCCTTCCAAAATAAAAAGGGTTATATAATTGTAAATTGTAAGTTATTGCACCTGCTTTTGAAAGTTTGTTTGTCTCTAAACGACATAGTCTCTACATTTGGAGTCCTGTGGCTCAGTGGTTAGAGCACTCGCTTTGCAAGTGAGAGACCTGAGTTCAATTCCAGGCAGAGGGCGAAACCTTGGGCAAGTTTCCTTACTCCACACAGAGCCTAATAATAATCCCTCCAAAACCCAAAACAATAATAAAATTGGTCATTTTCAATCTACGACTGTTTGTGGGACATTGCTGTGCGCAATTGGCTGCCGCGTTTGCCCACAAATATACAGTCAATTCACTTTACAGTGTACTCTGTGAAGCGCTTTGGGACGTCCTCCCGACGTGAAAAGCGCTATACCAAATGCAAGGATTATTATTTATTATTACACTTTACAGTATATCCTGTTAAGTGCTTTGGGATGCCCCTGCTAACTGAAAGACGCTACATGAAAGGCAAGAATTATTATTACTACATACTAAAAATCCAGTATCCCACTAAACAGCAATCAGAATGCAATGCAATGGCTAAGAAATTTGCAGCAGATATGGACAGAGCAGTTTTAGCCATTCCATGTTCCTTTTAAACATTTAATGGACTTTGAAATGTATTTGGCGTTGAACAACAGCACAATTACATTTGTATAGCACCTTTCACTTTGGGAGTACGTCCCAAGATGCTGGACAATAAGTGTTTTGGACCCAAGCTGGGGGTCAGGATCGGGAAGTGTGGAGGGCGTGTGGGGAAAGAGGGCTACCGAACGCACGATCGAAGAGGAGGGTGTTGAGATGGGTCTTGATGGAGGCAATGGAGGGGTGAGGCGGAGGGACTGCGGATTGGAGTTCCAGACGGTGGGGGCAGAGTGACAGAAGATCCGTCCGCTAATGGTGAAGATTTGTGGAGTCCTGTAGCTTAGTGGTTAGAGCACTCGCCTCACAAGCGAGAGGACCTGGGTTGGTTTGATTCCCAGGCAGGGTGAAACATAGGGCAAGTTTCCTTACTCCACATGCCTCTGTTTACCAGCAGGAAGTAAAAACACAGTTGTTAAAGTCGATTGGCGGGTGTAAGAATCCCTTTAAAAGTTTATTTTTAAAAAATTATTTGGTCACTCATGATTGTTTGTGGGACACCAATGTGCAATCGCCTGCCAGATTTTGCCCACAAAATATCATCAACTCACTTTACAGTAAGTATAGTCTGTGAAGCGCTTTCAGAATTCTCAAAGACAAGGATTATTATTATTAAGATTGCTCCATCATCTTTGTCCACAGCACAATAATCCTACAAGCACAGTGTGATTAAAATCTGTAAACAATGCACTTACAGATTGCATTTTACAGCTGTATTAAATCTCTTCACTGAAAGATCCAACCCACTAGTGTCAGCCTAAACTGACTGTAGGTAATTGCTGTCAAGTGTAGTGACTACGAATTTACAACAAACACTTCAATCAATTTCTACTAAATATCCCACAAATACTGAATGGCCAATTGATCTGCAGAATTGTTGGCCAGGACACCAGGAGATATTCCCTTCTATTTTTGGAAAGCATCTTGATGGGATCTTTAGTGTATAACTCAATAAAAATATTGCATTTAATATAGCGCCTTATCATGTCTTCAAGACATTGTCACAGAATGTACTGTAAAGTGAATTGACACTATTTTGTGAGCGAAACGAGTGCGGCCAATTGCTCATAGTAGTGTCCCACAAAGTCGTGGATTGAGTGACCAAATTATTATGTATTTTTTTTGAGGGATTATTACCTCCAGAAAGCAATCTGCCAATCAACGAACAATCGGGTTCCAACTAAGTAAACAGAGGCATTTGGAGTAAGGAAACTTGCCTAAGGTTTCGCCCCGCACGAACCCGGGTCCTTTCGCTTTCAAGACAAGTGCTCTAACCAGTACTTCACAGGACTACAATTAGTTGCACTCTCGTCCTCTGAGTCAGAAGATTGTGGGTTCAAGCCCCATGCTGGGACTTTATGAGCTCATAGTCTAGGTAGAAACTCCAATGCAGTTCAGGGGAGTGCTTCATTGTCAGAAGTACAATCCTTCGCAGACATCAAATGGAGGACCTCTCTGCTAGTGGATGCTAAAGATCCCATGCCACTATGGAATATAAAAGGGAGTTTGCTTACTTGTTTCATGGCCTTTTGTGGATCATTGCTGTGCATAAATTGCTGCATTGGATTAAAGTCACTACATTTTAAAACTAAATCATGTGAGGTGCTTTGAGCTGTT